TCGCCTGATTTGGACGGGAATTTGCAGTTAAAAAATGATGATTATCAAAATATATCTTTTGCCTATTCTCAAAAGAAGTAGCCCTCCTAGGATAATTTTTTTTTGAAAAGAGAACAATGTTAACTTTTTGTTTTTTTTAATCGAGGTTTTTATATTCCTTTCAAGGATTTTTAAATGTTTTTCTTTTTTATTCATTGTACGAGTATAAGACTGAGTTTGTTACGTTATTGTTCCTATTAGGTAATATGATTTACTTTTGTTAATTTACATAATGAGTGTATACAGTGAACAGCATTACAATTCGGACACATGTTTTTAATAACAATCGGTATTAAGTACAAATCCTAATCAATAAACAATTCAGTCAAATGCAGTGCCGCGCGAGGTGCCGCGTATCTCTACTACATAATCATAATACCACAGCAATCCCAGAACTTTAAAATATGAATTAGAACTGAACAGAATAATATGATTAACAGAATAACAAAACAGAATTATATAAACTATAAACAAAATAGAAAGTTAATGCTCTTACCACTGATTTCATTTATGTCAGAATTTCGACACAATTCATGTTTCAAAAATTTATTGTTTGACATTATTTCACGACGGGTATTCAAAAACACGTGTCCAAATTGTAATGCATCTCACTGTACCTAGTTTTGCGTAATATCATAATAAGTGTAAAATATTATTATATATACAAAGAAATATGTAACTCCAAATGTTTAACTTGCATATTTTGTAAATTTTATTTATATCAAGGTTTACTTGTTTTTCAGTTTTTACATTGAATTAAATAATAATAATAATAATTAATAAAATAATAATTTTTAATAATTTTTTTTAAAGCAATCATATTTGAAACTAAGTCTACCTTATTTATGAGCTTTGAGCAAGATGATGTTACTCCACAACATTGTCACCAGTAAATCCTTGAGTAAATCCCATATGAACACGCGTTCATATAACATCATCACTGGTCCTATACAGAATATTAATATCAATGCGTGTTAAATCATTGATAATAGGTACCTTTGCTATAAAAAAGCTAGGATAAAAACTAGTAGTAAAATTAATCTCCTGAAGGATATCGAGAAATGGATATCGTCATCACTATGAAAAAAATACAATAATTGTGCCACCTAACTTTTTAGCAATGATTTTATTATATTACTTTAAAAAAAATATAATACATCAGCAGATTAAATTACAAAATATGGATAGTTTCCATTAGCATGAGCAGTTTAAGATATTTTTGGAAAAAAGTCCTCTAAAAGGGAGGGAACTTCGTTTCCAAATATATCTTAATCTGCTAAATGTAAACCTCGATGTAAACTACAGGTACATATTTTTTATGTACGTCTATCATATATGGACCTTCATAAAAGTGTTGCAATACAATTTTGCACTAAAATAAACGGGGGAGATTATATTCTGGGACTTTCAAATTTACAGGGGATTTCCTATAGACGGTCTGCCGTTGCAATACCCGGTATTCTGATTGATATCTATACCTATATGATTGATAATAATATGAATAAGAACTAAAAGGATGTACCGGGGATGTACCGAGGATGTAGTGGATGTACAGAGGATGTAGGGGATGTACCGAGGATGTACCGGGGATGTAGTGGATGTACCGACGATGTAGGGGATGTACTAGGGGATGTACGAAGATGTAGGGGATGTACCGAGGATGTACTGGAGGATGTAGGGGATGTACTAAGGATAGAGGATGTAGGTGTACACTTTTTGCCCTATGTGTTTACCCCTCGGGCGACCCTTATCACTTAAGGGTATAAAAATAGATAACAACGTATTCTCAGACCTACTGAATATACATATAAAATTTCATCAAAATCGATCAAGCCGTTTCGGAGATGGTAACAAAAAATTTAAAAAAACATCTCTTCGTCAAAAAATAGATAACCTGGGAATAGGTTGTGACCAAACCAAACCAAACCAGACCTACTGAATATACATATAAAATTTTATCAAAATCGGTCTAGCCGTTTCGGAGATGGTAACAAAAAACTTAAAAAAACAACCCCTATTAAAAAATAGGGGATGATGGTAGAACGGTGAAAATTTAGGGTTGTTTGTATTTTTTAATGCCAAATAAAAAAAATTAAAATATTTTTTTTTTCAAAAAATAAAAAAAATGGGGGTGGGCTACCCTTATCACTTAAGGGTATAAAAAATATATAACAACCTATTTTCAGACCTACTCAATATACATATAAAATTTCATCAAAATCGGCTAAGCCGTTTCGGAGATGCCAACAAAAAAAAATAAAAAAACAACCCCTATTAAAAATAGGGGATGATATCAGAACGGTGAAAATTTAGGGTTGTTTGTATTTCTTAATGCCAAATAAAAAAATAAAAGCATTTTTTTCTTTTCAAAAACTAAAAAAAAATGAGGGTGGGCGGTAATACCCTTAACTGATAAGGGTAGCTCTCTCGGCTACCCTTATCAGTTAAGGGTATAAAAATAGGTAACAACCTATTCTTAGACGTACTGAATAAACATATAAAATTTTATCAAAATCGGTCAAGCCGTTTCGGAGATGGTAACAAAAAATTAAAAAAACAACCCCTATTAAAAAATAGGGGATGAAGGTAGAACGGTGAAAATTTAGTGTTGTTTGTATTTTTTAATGCCAAATAAAAAAAAATATTTTTTTTTTCACAAAATAAAAAAATGGGGGTGGACTACCCTTATCACTTAAGGGTATAAAAAATATATAACTACCTATTCTCAGACCACTGAATATACATATAAAATTTCATCAAAATCGGTTAAGCCGTTCCGGAGGAGTACGGTAACCAAAACTGTAACACGGAAATTATATAGATAATATTATGTGAAAACTGCGGAGTGCGGAGAGCGGAGAGCGGAAAGACTGATTATAGCAATACATGAAATTTAAAACTATAATTTAAAACTATTCAAGAAAGTACACACAAAACAAGGCAACGCCGCGCGTCTATTCGTTTAATTCCGAGCAAAATAGCGAGGCCCCACGAAGTTGGGGCCTCGCTCGCCAAAGCGAGGCCCCATCGACATGTCAGATTTTGATGCGAGACGAGACTTCTAGGGTATTAAGATATTCTTTGGTAGTAAGTACTTTATATTTAAGGAGAAAAGATAGAAGCTTTTTTTTAACCAATCTTTCAATGATCTTAGATAATGTGGGCGCAGGAGAGCGCAATTGGGGCGATAGTTCGAAGCTTGATTATGTTTTGTGAATTTTTTTTTCTTTCAGTCTGTGAATTTTTTAAGGTGAGATATTTAAGGCAGTTTGGAAAAACTCCTTTTTGGAATGACTCGTTAATTAGAGTAGTAAGATAGATTAACGTGCCTTCCTGAAGTTCAGAGAACATTTTGAGAGTAAGCCCATCAGTCCCAGGTGAGGATTTGTTTTTAATACTTTTAATTGTACTACGGAGCTCATATAATGCTACGGGCGTGAAGAAGAAACTGTGTAAATTCTCATTTGCTTTAGGGAGATATGAAAGTGAATCATGGGAAGGAGTTATGGTGTTCACTAAATTTTGAGCCACATTAACAAAGTAAGTGTTGAATTAAAGACTGTGCCAGACGAAGAAGTCTTATTCCTTAAGTCATTTACAATAGCCCAAGTCTCCTTAGCAACATTACCGGATTTGGCTAGCCTCCCATTATAATAAATGTCCTTGGCAGCTTTACGATAAACCCTTCTATAAATTTTCACGTTCAATTATGAAAGAAAACGCTGTCTGAATTTTTTAAGGTGAGATAATGAGCGCATGTTCTTTGCAGATATACGCAAGCCTGTCGTAGACCAGGGTATACCTTGCTTAATTTTGATAGGCCTAAGAGGAAACGTCTTGCACGCCAGATTAGACAAGGTATTTATAAATCTAGAAAATTTGGAATCGACGTCAGCCGAGAGGACAAACCACTCAGTTGTTAGGCATAGGTGGTGAAAATTTAGAAAATTTTTATCCGAAAAAATACGGCCCAATTTGCGCGAAGTATTTTCGGATTTGGATTGTGGCAAAAACGTTGTCAATACTGCCTCATGATCAGAGAAACCTGAGTGAAGGACTCTACAGTCAACGAATTCCGGGTCAAAAGACGACACGACATAGTCTATAGTATTAGAACCAGTTTTAGTTATTCTAGTTGGTGAGTCAATATGCATGAGTATAGTATAGACTCCCTAGCTGCACCAACACTGGAAAAGTCAATATTTAGATCGCCAAACAAAATTAATTTACTTTTTATAGGTGGGGATTCAAGCAAGTTAAGCAATTTTTGACTGAAAATATGCACGTCAGCGTCAGGTGTTCTGTAAATACAAATAATATATAGGTCAAAAGCATTATGATAAACGACGTAAAATTCAATTTTTTTTCGGATATTAGAGTATTGAACTTAGTTACTGCCGAAAAGTCGTTGTTAGTAGACATTATCATAGTACCTCCATGAGATGAGTTACTTCTATTGAATCTAGTTACTGTGGTTTAATTTTTGACAAATACAGGCTCATCCATATTTAACCAATGTTCATCATAAAGGGCCATTACTACCACGTTCCCGTTCAAAATATTCTAATAAAGTTGCGATGAGTTTTTTACGACTATTAAGCTATCCTACATTGTCCGACTGCAAGGTCTGCTAGTAAACATTTTTAGGCTTAAAGTATCACAACATAATTTATTTCAACCAAAAACTCGTAATACAAAATTAAAGTGTCAAAACGAATGACAATGTCAGGAAAAAAATAAAATAAATGTGGCAACTTGACATTTTTACAGCAGAGCTACCACTTGAATCCCCAGCGGGAAATTTAAATTCCAGATAGTCAGCCCCATGCTTGCCCCATGCGGAATATGTCCATGATTGGCAACAATGAATTTGAAAATTGCGCTCTTGATTACGTAACTAAAAGTTTAATTGGTATCGAAAAGTTTTGAAATCTATTAATTTTTTTAAATTGTATTCTTAGCATTCCAGATGAGATATCGCCATCTTTAAGTTACACAACAATAATCTACAGGCTGTTATATGATTTAGCTTTGGATCTTTTCGATAGAGCTAACATGAATTCTGTTATTTTTAATATTAAATCCCCTCCATTATCAAGACAACAGAGCGAATCTCAGGTAAATAAGCTTTAATATCTTATAGGCTTGGTGCATATCAGTTGATTTCAAGAAATTTCGACCGCAGCGCTCTAACGGCAGAAATTAACAGTACGTATTTCACGCCGCCGTCATGTTGTTCACATCAAAATAATATTGAAATCGTGGTTTTGTCATAATATTTATGTATTTTAGTTTTTTGCTAGTGCAGTTACTGAGACTGTAAAACACTCAGTTACGAGGTTTGTGTGAAGTAACGCTGTTTCGGGTAATAAAAAATAAGTGAAAAAGAATTCGAACTAGGCGTCGTATTGTGTTGTGACAATTTCAAATGTTAATCAAATTGCCGAAAAAATGTTAACGCGTAAAGTAGAGCGTAATTAGGGATTGTTGGGTGCAATAACATTCAATAACTCAACTTTTCCGGATATTCAACTCTCCCGAAACATTTTATAGCTTCATAGTTTCTTACACCGATTTGATCAAAAACAAAAATGGATTCAAGCAGTTCGACGAAACAAGTGAGTAAACAAAGTGCTCGTTACATAATCAAAAAATTAAATAGACATATACTATAAGAGGATAAAATATAATTTGCAATATTTATGGTATAATTTTTAATTTTTTTAATCAACTAGTGATTAAATGTTTTATGAACATCTTCTAAAATTATAGTTATGTACCTTTAAAAAAATTCGTTAGCCGAAATAGCCCCAATTATGCCCCGCTAGCAAAACCGGTGATTAAAACTATGCTCGCTATCGTAGCTGAACTCATCTAAAAAGTGTTTTTAACTGGAATAATAAATTATAATTCAAGTTAGACCTTCTCAAGATATCAAAATATTTACTTTTTTATTTTTATTTTTAGAATTTTTACAAATTATACTTCCTAACACTTTTAGAATAATTAAATAATAAATCTTTCGTGTACTCTCTATTTAAACCCGTATATTTGTATATACTAGTTGTTTATAATATTCTAGAGAATGCACCAAGCCTATAGGGAGTTAGAATGAATGATTGTAACGATTTTTTTTAATTTTAGACTGAACTTAGTATCCAAAAAGATAAGAGATCAAATGTGAACAGTTTAAATTTAAATCCTCCTGCTCCAGACCCGATTGTTGTTCATCCTGGAGTCGTTATTTGTATGTTCCAGCTTTTACCTTGTATTAAAGTAAGTTAATATCTTGCAATTTTTAAATACTTATAACATTTCAAGATAAATTATGTCAACATTGTTTACAAATTTGATAAACTTTTACATCTAATAAGCATGGTAACGATTTAAGCTTGATTTTCATGCATCCGTTGTCCGACGATACGTTGATACGATATTAATTTCATTGGTTGTATTTAAAGGCTTCGATTGGTTAACCGTTTCTAACCAACCGAAGTCTTTAAATTCAACCACTAAAATTAATATCGTATCATCGTATCGTCGGACAACGGATGCATGAAAATCAAACTTTATACGATATGTGTCATATTTCCACTTTTCCTCTCGCGTTTCGTGTGTTATGGCCCTGTCACGGCCTTGAATTTTTACTCCCATCGCGCGTAAAGAAGTTTCACTTCCAAAAATATTTTTTTAAAATTTTACATAAGTATGCCAATTTACAGGTGTTTACTTAAATAGTTTTTTAATAATATTTTTAACTTATATCATGCTAGTTTCTTGATATAAGCTTCATTCAGAACCTCGTAATTAGTGGAATAAATTAGGGTTTACAATTAAAATTTATACTTTTTAGTTTACGATCATTCACAATGTTTAAAAAACACTATTAAAATTAATAGAATATCCTAGCAACAGCTTGTGTTAATCAGTTGTATCCATAGAGAAAGCCTAATATGTAGCTTATAAAACAACCAACTTTTTCATTTCTAACCACAATTTCTCTTGACGGAAGATAATCAAAAGCCAAAATGACGTTACTTGCAAATTTTGAAGTATAATTAGTGGAAAAGTCAAAAGTTTGATAACTTTTTCTACTAATTGAAAAGGTCTACCACTAATTTTGGCGTTCTGAATGCTTACATTGAAATTAAAGGAACAAATTTCCACGCTAATTGAAACCACTAGTTTATTCCACTAATTGCGAGGTTCTGAATGAAATTATAGGAGCAAAATTCCTGGAAACTATTTTTGTTATTTTATACCGTGCTGGCAACTGTTACTTTTGGGTCGGTATTTACATGTATGGAAGTAAATCGCATAGAGATCTTGTTAAGTCGGAGTGAGAGAAATGCGGCGGTGTGTTGTTGCGGCGTTGCCGGTACGCCTTTCCCTATCAAGTAAAGTAAAATCACGATCGCACACCGCTTATTTTTAAACTTTTTTTCGAAAAGATAACTAGATAAAATCATTAGATATGTTTCTGAGTACCTGAAATCGAATTATAAAGATATCGTTAGGGTGTACATTTTTTTATAACGAGAAAATGTCAGTAATCGGGATAATTTAAAAACTTAACTTTTTAACACATAACACGCCATAACTTAAGAACCATTTTAGATATTGAAAGTTTTTTTTATTTTGAAAATCGGATCTTTTACAATATGTTTAAATAAGAAAAATTCAATAAGGTTGTTTTTTCCATTCAAAAATTTTAAACAACCCATCCAGTTACTTTTAATGCATAGCAATTTTCAGCAATCGTGTAACTTTTTTATTTATAAAGATTTTCACATATTGTCTGCAAAGAAAATATAGCAGAAATATTAAGAAATTTTTTGAAAAAACTACAATCAATTTATTTCTAATAGATTTCGAGATATCGATTTTTGAATTCAGAGTTCTAATAGCGCACCAACTCAGTTCCACTTATTATTACCAAAAATTCAACAGCAACTGTTTCTAACTTACACTTAAAAATTTTCAAAAATTATAACTACTCGTTAATAAATAAACAAATAAAGTATCACGAGACGTAATTAAATCGTGAAGCTGAACGCATGATGTACACCTCTCCCCAGAACTTTAAGTACTGACAGAGGTACTGATTGGGTCGGCCGCTCGACTGCGACAAATCTGCTATATCCCCTTCCACGTCACTTAGCAATATGTGCACAGTTTCTCGGTTTATTTCATGCGTTTGGCAACGTGTTTACTGTTCTCTCTTTGTTCGGTACATTATAAAACGCATTGTACTCTTCTTACATACGGAAATCTCGACCCAAGACTAACCTTTGCCAGCCCTTAGTATGTCAAATTATGAGGAAATGTGAATATATTGGTCATTTAAAAAAGGTGATCGACGACAATCCCCATTCCTGTTGAAATCTGCGTACACCGTCAATTATTTTTAATTACCATTATTATTCGTAAATTACTAAGTTTGAACCCAAATATTTCAGGACGATACTTACGAAACATATCTTAGCCTGCAATTATATATTGCTGAAGTGATAAAATCATTAGTGAGAAGCGAAAGGAATCAACAAGTGATGTGCGACGCTGGTTTCGTTACTTATTTATTAGAAGTCGGTTCAGCCCCTTTGCAAAACGAGAATCATCCCTTACACACCCATTTACAATATATGCTAGAACGACTGGCAGCTCAAGCTTTAGAACCCATCGATTTAAGAACGTTTTTTAGGTAAATATTGACGTTTTATTTGTACAGGTTGTCCCACTAAGAATAGCTCTCGGGTGTATCTCGAAAAGTATTAGCCGTAGGGCCTGCGGAAATAAATATTTATAACTAAAGAGACAATGAGAAATTGCTGGAAATTATTTTCAAGCTTGTAGAACGCTCGCTAGAGGGCGTAACTGCTATAAAAAAATAAGAAAAAGGAGTTTTTACACAATTTTGCCTAGATAACAGGTACTATAAATAACATCTTCATAATCTTCAGTAAATTAGATTAGTATTGATTAGTATTAGAACCATTTTCCCCTATCTGCCAAAATAAAGTGGTGGGGGAAGGTTAGATCTATTTTTATTTAAATGTTAATAACTCCGGACTGGATGCACGGAATACAACAAACGGGTGCTCGTTTAAATGAGCGTTCCTTACTCTATATTATACCGTATAAACAATAATAAGCTTTTGAATGTAGACGATAGAGGGCGCTGTCTTACAATTTAACAAACATTGCGCGTTTTTTCAAAAAAATGAAATGCGATAGTATATGTTATTTTAGCTGATAGGAAAGAGTAATAAAAGCTAAAAAAGTCAGCGAAAACCGCATCTTGATATCCTCTGCTTTCAAACCGAAGATATTAGCAAGATTATAATAAATACGCAAAAATAAGCCCTTAATTACCTTATTTTTATAACACGGTTACAGTAGCTCTGCTGATTATGGCCATTCTTATAAAAAATTAGATAGAAACGGTTAGTTTATTCTAAAATCGACAATATACTAGAATATCATAATACCAGATCTATTAATATCTAATAATTAAGATATCAATGACAGTTAATAAGAAACGACGCCTCAGTGAAGTCATGGTAGGCTTTGGAAAACAGTTGCTTTTGACGTAATTGTATAAACGTCAAAGTGTTATTAGATCAACATTTTGATAGTCTTAGAAGCATTTTTTCTCTATTGAAGAAAGGCATTCTTTGAAGAATTAAAGAAAAGAAACATAAAGATAAAAAAACGCTGCTGAGACTATCAAAATGTTGATATAATAATATTATGACGTTTAAACTATCCCTCTAAAAACAACTTTTTTCCAAAGTCTACCATGAATTCACTGAGGTGTCGTTTCTTGTTCACTGTCAGTTATATCTCAATTATTATATATTAATACACCTAGTATTGATAGTATCCTGATACATTGTCGATTTTTTGAATAAAATAATCTTTTTTATCTTATTTTTTATTAGAATGGTCATAATCAAGAGGGCTAGTGATACAGTGTTAGAAAAATAAGTTCTACAAACTTAAAAATAATTTCCAGCAATTTCTCATTTTCTCTTTAGTTATAAATATTTTTTTCCGCAAGCCCTACGACTAATACTTTCCGAGATACAGCCGAGAGCTATTCTTAGTGGGACACCCTGTACAAACATTTATGTTCTATGTAAAATGCTTTTTAGGCTTGGAAATCCATTGAGTTGTCTACCTCTAGGATCAACTGAACCTGGTGGAGGACCAGTACCTCTAACCCGTATTAAAACTATAGTTTCTATGACCACGCCTAAGGATTTTAGGGCTCAGTCTACCTATACTTTACCGCCGTTTGTTGAATTCGATATGTCGGCGGAGGGGTTTGGATGTTTATATTTGCCTAGTATTGCACCACAGTCTATTTCAGTGCCTAGTGTGGTGTCTGCAGTTGACGGCAGTATATTAGGGGGAATTGGATCAGGTACGATTTTTGATTTCATTTTATTTACAGTTGAGGGGTTTCTGGCAAAAACCCCATTAGTCAAAAAAATGAGTAAAATGAGTTAATGGCGCTATCCGACAGTAATTTGTTAGTCATAACGTTCTTACCAAACGAATTCGGGAAAAGTGCTATAAGTCAGCCCGTGGCATACGATCAAAAATATCGTAATTCCGCAAGAACCCCACAAGTCACAAGCCTTAACGGCAAAAACTCCACTAGTCCGCTACTTGATGAAACTTGAAATGAAACTAATTAAAAAAGTTCGTGTAAATATATGTCCTAAAATGCTTAGTTTTGGAGATACAGGATATAGAAGTTTCATTTTTATTTCGATTTTTTCCAAGTAATTTCTAAATTTCCAAATAAGTTACATCAATATATGGATGAAAATAGGTGTCTGGGAGTTTTTTGACAGGAGAAATTTGATTATGATATCAATATGACTCCTGTTTGTAGGGGACACCACCTACATGTGGTTTAACCGTTTTGAAGAGCAATAAATAAATTTTCGTTCGTATCTGTATAAAACTATTGAGGGAAAAAAAATACATTTCCATGATTTTTTACGTAAAAAATGTCTCTTGGTAAAAATCGCTACAAGCAACCGATCTCCACATATTTAGAATGGAACTAGTCAATACATGTCATTATTGATAAAAAATAAACATGTTTAGTAGATAGTTATTTGACTGAAATGATGAACTTTTTATTTTTTTAAATTAATCATAAATTTGTCTTCGAAAAAATGATGATGAAAGAGTTTCTGTTGAACTTTTGCCACAAAAACATTTCAAAGTAATCATTTCAGTCTAATAACTTTTTAATGATCATGTTTAATTTATATTAGGTATTGATAATTTTGATTCCAAATATCTCGAGAACCATTACTCACAGCGATTTTTATTAAGAGACTTTTTTACGTAAAAAACGTTGTAAATGTATATTTTTTTACCTAGTAGTTTTGTACAGGTACTGACAAAAAGTTATTAGTTTTTGGCAAAAAATTATCATTTAACTAATTTAAAATTGAAAAAATATTTTTTTTAGATTAAGAAATAAAAATTCACAAACATAGGTATACTCGTAGGTCCTAGTCCTAGGGTATAATGTTCTTATACAGTGTGATCCATTATTCGGCAATATTTCCCTATTTGGGATTTTCACCTTATTATTCTACAAAATATGAGCAATTGTAGCGCAGATTTTAAAAATATTTTTATAGATTTATAGGGTGATTCCTATACAGGGTGGTCCGAACTGTATTCCGGAAACTTCGGCAGCATATTATGCAGATAAAAATATGTAAAAAAATTCTTATAAATGTACGTCCTAAAATGCTTATTTTCAGAGATACAGGGTGTAGAAATTTAATTTTTATTTCGATTTTTTTCAAATAATTTATGAAGTAACGTCAATATTTGGATGAAAATTGTTTTTTTTTGACATGAAAAATTGGATTTTGATGTCGATATGACTCCTAGTTGTAGAGGGCGCATGAAAAATTGGATTTTGATGTCGATATGACTCCTAGATGTAGAGGGCGCCACCTACATATTTTTTAACTGGTTTGAAGAGTAATAACTTTTCGTCCGTACCTGTATAAAACTACTGAGTAAAAAAAATATTTACGAATTTTTACGTAAAAAATGTCTCTTGGTAAAAATCCTTACCAGTAATGATTCTCGAGATATTTGGAACCGAAATTATCAATACCTGACATTATTGACATAAATAAACATGTTGACTAAATAGTTATTTGACTAAAATCATAAATTTGAAATGTTTTTGTGTCAAAAGTTCAACAGAAACTGTTAAATCATCATTTTTTTCGTAGAAAAAAATTATGATTAATTTAAAAAATATAAAAATTTCCCAAATTTATCATTTCAGTCAAATAGCTATCTACTTATCGTGTTCATTTTTTGTCAATAATGACATGTATTGACTATTTCCATTCTAAATATATTGAGAACGATTGCTTGCAACGATTTTTACCAAGAGACATTTTTTCATAAAAAGTCACGGAGATGTATATTTTTTCACTCAGTGGTTTTATACAGGTACGGACGAAAAGTTATTACTCTTCAAAACAGTTAAAACACATGCAGGTGGCGCCCCCTACAAATAGGAGTCATATTGACATCAAAATCAAATTTATCATGTCAGAAAACTTCCGGACACAAATTTTCATCCAAATGTTGAGGTTACTTCAGAAATTATTTGGAAAAAATCGTAATAAAAATGAAGTTTCTACGCCCTGTATCTCCGAAACTAAGCATTTTAGGATACATATTTTTACGAACTTTTTTACTTATTTTTACCTGCAGAATATGTTGCCGAAGTTTCCGGAGTTCAGTCTTAATTGGCATTATTTTATAGTAGTCCTCTCTAACTCTCTTGTTTACTATTTACTTGTTTACTTGTTTAACTATATGTATAAGCTGTATTGCTTTTACTATTTGAGATTTATATATATTTATTTTAGTTAAACAAGTTTTAGAGAGGACTACTATAAACTAATGTCAGTTAAGAAAATTTAGAATTTATGATTTTTAAATTTTAGAAAGCCTCTAAATGTACGTAAAGTTTAGTTTAAAGATGCTGGTATTTTCAAAAATTTTGTAAATGGGGTCTTTTTGGAACACTATACAGGCTTACCTAACTTAAGATGTGTGTTTTCTATGATTATTTATCTGTAAACTACAAAAACAACTTTATTTAAAAACTTTTGATTTTATATTATGCAATTTACTTTTTACAGGAGATCGACTCTTTCCTCCCCAGACTGGTCTCAGTTACTCCACGTGGATTTGTGTAGACAAGTTTTCTGACCCTCGTAGTGATCCTCACTCTGTCCATCTCCTTACTTTGGTGAGAAGCTACAATGGAGCGAAAGAAGATCATGTTGTTTGTCTCTCCATTGTTCTCTCAACTAGGGATAAAGCCATCATTGTTTCAACAAAAGAAACGAGAATACCAGGGAGTAAGTTATTTCTCTGTTAGCTGTTTTCCATCTAACTGATACGATTATCTAATTAGGTTTAAAATTGAACTAAGAGCTAAAGTCTGTTCAAGGAGAGAATACAAGAGAGTAACAATTGCGGTCTGTCATTTTAATTCGCGTGTAAATTGAATTTTCTATTATTTCTTTGGATTTCGTCTGTCGAAATTCTGTTTTGGATTTTGTTCGTTTCGTTGGACAAACTTTAGATAAAAAGGAAGTATTAGAATTATTAGAATAAGGTTTATTGTTTAAATCTGACTACATTATATACCTATAGTTCATATCAAATAAACTTTTAGTCACGTGATTAAGCTTGACCGGCACAGCGTTGCCCACTTTTACATATTTTCTGTTAATCAAAAGGGCAACGGCCCAGCTACGTTGAAACACCGGTTCCCATTAGAACACCCGAAGTTAAGCGACGTAAGACGATACTAGTGGATGGACGGGTGACCGATTCGAAACTCTGTATCGTGCTGTTGTCCAAAAAAAGGCAAAAGTGTAAAATCTATTGACACACACTGCTCATTTACGCCGGTTCGAGGCCGGATGAGATCGGATATCTCGTGAGTAAGAGTCGATTTAGACACTTGCCAAGTCAGGGTAGGCTATTGACCATGATATGACCGAGGACCGCGGTTCGGATTCCGCGTAAACAAAGTAGGCCTCGTCCAGATTAGCCCTGGCAGCAAAAAGGAGACGTTAACTGAAATCTTTACTTTTCTTTTAATCAAAATATTTTAGGAAACAAAAATAAATTAATTATAAATATATTAACAGTTACTATTTACGTCAACAAAACTCACCTCCTTAACAGCACTTAAGGAACATGAAGGGCCATTACTACCGCTTTTCTGTTCAAAATATTCTAATAAAGTTGCGATGAGTTTTTTACGACTATTAAGCTATAACTACTAATAATAGCGATACCCACTTCGCACTAAAAGAGGTTCTAAAAAGAACAATATACAACGAAAATTTTTAAGCTAAAAGTGTCTCAACACAATTCATTTAAACCAAAAACTCGTAATACAAAACTGAAGTGTCAAAACGAATGACAATGTCAGGAAATAAATAAATAAATGTGGCAACTTGACATTTTTTACAGCAGAGCTTCCACCTGAATTTCCAACGGAAAACTTATGGTGGGTTCATATTTCGTGAATTAGTATAACCTAACCTTACCATTAACATTAACCCTAAGAAATTAACCTTATGAACTTAAGGAAATGACGTTCATACTTCTACTTGTCTTAGATTGGTTAGGTTATGATAAATAAAACATGTTTTGAACTTATATTTTTGAACTCATATTAACTAAATTCACAATTATTTTTAAAAATTCTAATACTTCAGAAACTTATTTTTACATTAATAATTTCTAGACCAAAAAATACATAATTTATTAACATTTATAAACCGTCAAATTCAACATGTAAGATATTTTTTCGAGAATTCTTAAAACCCCTAGTTTTGGGCATGCGCGATTCAGTTTCGAGTTAGCATTAGGCCTAAGAATATAAAATATCCCAACCTGTTAGGACTAAGTCTAAGGTTAGGATCGATACAACGGAAGCATGAACCCTAGCGTTCGTTAACGTTGATTCATATTCTTGGGGTTAGGACTAATATTAATGTAATGGCTAAGATCGAAATCATCCCACCATTAAATTCCACTTAGTCAGTTCGGCGCCGAATATAGGTACATTCAGGCTGAGAGCGTTGAGCGTCGCGTCTCGTTTGCGTCGCGTCCGCGTGTCGAAATGGAATCAATTCACTTAACTTAAATTAGACCGTTCAGGCAGACAGCGCAGCGTCGCCTGGCGTTGCGCTAGCGTCCGCTGAGCGTCGGTGTTCGAGTTCAATGGGGCGGACGCGACGCAAACGCGACGCGACGCTCAACGCTCTCAGCCTGAATGTACTTTATGTCCATGGTGGGCAAGAATGAATAAAGAAGTCTTATGGGGATTTCGCCACTGTAAGAAAATCTACAAAATAAAATAGGTAGTTATTTTTTGTAAACACTGCTGCTTTAATCCAACGGTGACTAATTGTCAGCAGTGGTTTACTAATAAACAAATTTGCCTAATGGATAAACAAATGCTTAACGTTTCGGAAAGTATATCTCTTTCCGTCGTCCGAAGCAAAAAAAAACACAAAGAACAAAGAAAAAAAACTGTTTGAAATATCTAAATGCAACTTTCGAGAACACTAGTTTTTTTTAAACAGAACGTCAACGTAGTCATGGGTAACACTCTAACTTTTTGTGTGTTGATACAGTAACACTGGCAAGTTTTCCTGTATCAACACAAAGTATCAGCACGATTGTGTCATTTGGCACAATAGTGAATCAGCGTTATTTCAGTTAAACACATACAGGGTTTCGTGTTTGCGGTTTCTCGCGCTCACTGTCGAGAAGCCCACGGCTGACGCGGTACTCCATGTTGCCAAACGATGAAAAATTGCGTACTTTGAAATACAAGAAAAATTAAACACACTTTTTGATAATTTAAGGGTAGTTTCATATACAATGTTATCTAATATAGGAGTACAGGTATACTCTTAAGCATCTTGAAAAGGTAAAGTAGTCTTTTTAAATTAGAAAATTAGAGCACACATACTCAATAAAAGGATGATGGCAACATTGATTTGCAAAGGTAGTTGTTACGCAAAATCGGAGATCGGTAATTCCCATAGCACTAAGCACACCACGTGTTTTGTTTTAGTTTTGTTTAGTTTACAGTATTCGTATGCATAACCAATTAGCCTCGTGAATATTTCCCTATAATTATTCTCCCCCTACTAACATTAGCATTGACAACAACGCGCCGCGACGATGTGTTGCCTAAAGACAACCGAAACTGAAAGACATTAAATCGAATATGGATCGATTAGAAACAAAATATATATTTTCTCCACGATAAGAAACAAAAAATTCATTATTATTTACTATCAATTTTTTATTACAATAACAATCGAGAAGATGTAAACGCGAGTCTTCGTCAGATTTAGCTCTCCATCCTCCCATGAACCATGAACCATATATTTGAGACGTCGCGTCGGTAATATTTATTTCATAAACAGTAACAAATTTATCGTGGATTTCCACTAATACTAAGTCTGCATAACTGCAAACAATTATCGATGCTCGTATGCATATTAACAAGAAATCGAATCACATTGGCCCAGCATGACACAATAAAACTGTTTTATTGTGTCATGTATCATGCTTGTATAGCCAACCTAACGAAATGGCACCGCGCCCGCGTCTCGATACGATACTCCATGCGGAAAGCTTGCAGCGTTATATTAAGTGTCAGTATCAAAATATTCATTGACGCTGTTTCAACACCATGGCATAGCGAACCCAACGAAATTGCACCGCACCCCGTCTCGATACGATACTCCGTGTGGAAAGCTTGCAGCGTTTTATTAAAAGTGTCAGTGTCAAAAAATTCATTGACGCTGTTTCAACACCATGGCTTAGCGAACCCAACGAAATTGCACCGCGCCCGCGTCTCGAGACGATACTCCTTGCGGAAAGCTTGCAGCGTTATATTAAGTGTCAGTGTCAAAAAATTCATTGACGCTGTTTCAACATCCATGACACACTGAAAGGTGTCAACACAAAAGTGTCATACAACACAGTGTTACACATGGCTACGTCAACGATCAACAAGCAGTCTTTACAAAAAATAACTATTTTATTTTGTAGATTTTTTTACAGTGGCGAAATACCCATAGGACTTTTTTGGAGAGGTGAATCCGCCACAGAGGTATAGACATTTTTTTTTATTGAATTGAATTGAAAAATCGCGCCCTCGATTACTTAACTAAAAGTTTAATTGGTGTCGGATATAATAATGGTTTGGCTTTGTTAGCTCTTTTTATATTATGTATTCAACAGTTTTTTTGTTTCTATCCAAATAGATATAGTCGGAGATTGGGAACCTGAAGGATCTGGAGAACACGGAGCCCGCGTTTGGTATCCAGACCTACTCAAAGAAACCCAATGGCATCATATAGTTGTGGTTTTAAATAGAGCCGTATTGAAAAATTCATCTTTTTCCCTTTATATCGACGGCCAACAAATTCACACGCAAAAGATGCACTATATCTCTCAGAATCCCGCCGGCCCAGCGTCAAACTTGAACCTGTCCACCTCGGTTTATGGATATATCGGAACTCCTCCGGCGTGGAGGAGATATTCCCGGCTGTGTTGGAAACAGGGCCCCTGTCATTTGTTTGAAGAAGTAAGCACAGTGCTGGTTCAAAATAGAGATGAGCAACAAATTGATTTAATCGCATTAATTTTAAAATCGCAATTGCAACCCGCGATTGATTCTCATAGGAAACTGCGACTGCGATTTCTTCTATTTGCGAGTTTCAAAGAAGATGTTTTCTAGGGCTAAAATCATAATATACCGGGTGTTTCTCAAGAGTGGTTCGCCCCTATAACTTTTTTATTTTTATTTTTGGTAAAAAAACAAGATTTGGTATGTTAGCATGGTATTCAATTCGTTTCGATCACTTTCTGTTTCACCGGAAATGAATACAACTTTTGGAAAAAATCATGATTTAAAAAAAAATCAAAAAAATCAGATTTTTTTTATTTTCATTCAAAACAATATTTAAATCGGATTTCCAAATGACTAGGACTTATTTCCAATTAAAGTCCTATCCCAAATCTCCCCGATACCGTTAACATTAACAATTGTACGGCGTGTGTCATTTTTCCACATCGGTCACCAATATATTCCGCAAAAAGTCGCTCGCTTGAGATCAAAAGGATTTTTTTTCAAACATCTCAAAAATATTAACTTTTGTCATTTTAACGCCTAGGCATAAAAGTAAAGCACTGTTACGCCTAAGCACAAAAGTACAAAAATATATTATTAAACTGATACTAAGTGTCAAATTTAACGAGTGTACAAATTGTTGCTTAATTACTGTCCATATTATTTGCAATGTTTGGAATTGATTAAAATTTATTTGTAATGTTTTAAAGGTACATCAATTTTACTTCAAATAAAACAATACACGATTGTTCGGAAATAGTATTAAGTCGAGAATGAAATTAGTATGTAATATCTAATGTCAAAGTGTGAAATACTTACTGCAGATCAAAATGTCACGTCGGTAGGAATTTGGAAACATACAACCGTTTCAAAAAAAAATAAACAACGCATTTTCTGACAACGATTATAGATTCTCGAGAATGAAGATATAGTCTCTATATCAGAAGAACCTAGTTCTGCACTAGACTTTGCGAATGATATGTATTCGAACACCGAATTTTTGTCGCTTATACATAATTTTTAAAATAAATCCCTGCGTTTAGCGGTCTAATGGATTCACACGAAATTTCTTCAAAAATCGGTCCAACATTTAAATTGATGAATAGATATTTTTATATAGTTTTATAACATTTACAATTATTTTTCGATTTATTATCTGTTATATCTGTTCTAGAAATATTTTTTGTAGTTTTCTAGGACACATTTTTATAACTTTTACAGTTATTTTTTGATTTATTGTAAAGTTTCAATAAAATTATTTTTTTAAATTTAAATCACATGATTAAAATTAAAAAAAAAATCACTTGATTTAAATCATGTCAACCCTGCTTTTTTCGATAGACAATGACACTCTGAATAGAATGGCAGATCATATGTCAACTTTTGACATTTACGCTTAAAAAAATCGTATTTTAAATATAAATTTATTTTTAATCAAGGATCCGTCGACAAAAATATTTAATTGTATATTGTTTTTCGTATGTTGTCCTGGCCGATTAAAAAATGACCAAATCGTATTTTTAATCACATCTCAATGTTTTCAAATGGAACGAGGGTGGCTCATTAGCATATTTAGAAAAAACATTTTTTACGAATAATTTGGTACCACACATTTGGTATTTCGAGGCAAATTGTCATTATGAACCGCATGCTACAATTTCCAATTAAACCATATGCGAAAATGTCAAAAGTTGACATATGATATGTCATTCTATTCAGAGTGTCAAAAATCAAAAGTTGTACTTGTTTACGGTGAAACAGGATTGAATACAAATCAGTTGAATACGTCTAGCAATCCTTATTTATGTCATATATTAACGTACGAAATATCGTTTCTTTATCTAAAAAAAAAAGATAAAAAAAGTTATAGGGGTTAGGTAAAATAGTTCTTTAAGATCTTTTAAGAATTGGATAAAGAATTACATAACTGAGAACCGTAGAAAGAGTAGGTATGTGTAGCTACAGCATATTATAAAGTTTTAATACCTATACCATATGTTGCAGATGTTAAAAAAACTTAAAAACTAAACAACTGATTTTTATTAACTTTTATGGGAACATACACAGATAATTATATACCTAGTACAATATTTAAATATTAAAATTGCAATCCCAGGTTACAGTCGCAGCGATTTAAAAATTACAATCGCAGTTTCAATTGCGATTGGAGAATCGCAGTTTTGCTCATCTCTAGTTCAAAATTACAAAATTATTTATTCGTCCTTCTTGTTAGGTTTTGACTCCCACAACTGTATCTCAGATGTATCAGTTAGGACCGCATTATATGGGTTCTTTTCTGGCACCAAATTTGACATCGACTGATTCAATGCAATTAGTGTCCGAAGAAAAGGTGGTTTTTGGTTTAAACGCCAAAGCTGTCTCTCAACTGACGTTGAATAAAATTAGGAAAGTTTACAGCAAAGCTGATAATAAGTCAATAGGTTAGTTAAATACACTTTATGCTTGTAAAAATTCTTGTTATACTTAATGTTTCGTATTATAGCAAAACAATTGGGGATGTCCAGTCATGAAAGTGCTACTCCAATAAGAATATTACACAACTCTGCAGGACATCTTGCAGGTTCGGCTAGGACATTAGGTGGCGTTGTTATAGGCTATCTAGGTAAGTGTTTTTAAAATAACGTTTTTTTTTCAAATAGGTTGTTTATTAAAAATATTAAGGATTTTATTTATACAGGGTCTACCAAAAATTTTACATATATGATTTTTTTTTATTATTGAGTTATTAAAAAAAGTTTATGCGGAATTTCTGTCATGTGCATAATGTGCATAGTGTCAATATCAAAATAACCTTGCTTTTAATCAATAAGCGTGTTCAGGGACGGTCAGTTGCTGAGTGGCTGAGTAAACAACTTCCCTAAACGGTCTATTCTGACGAACAGCAACGGCCAGCCGCTGTGCAAAATTCTCAGTAGTAAATATTTAGGCTGAGGCAAGTCAGCCTTAATTTGTCTCCTTATCTGTAGTCAACTAATGTAAAATAACTTCAATTTTCTCCGTTTATTGTTTGTTTTTATGGTTTGTTGAAGTTTGTAGTCAATAGTAATTAATCGAATCCTTAAAAAATAGGTGATACCTATTTGTTGTAAAAAAATTTACAAAGTAGTAGGTTAATCTAAAATATTCGAAAAAGGCAAGAAATGCTGAAAATTTGACTTGAGATGGAAAAACACAATGAAATTAAAGAAAAAAACTTTTTAAAAAAAATCTGAATCAGCCTAAATAACTTTTGATTGTAATTATAGTACAAATCTTTTAAAAGTTCCTCAATATGGCCGACCTAGTTACGAAAATTGGTATTTTTTTAATGAATAATACGTTGGCGTTAGCTAATTCAGAACTATATTTACTCTTTGGTTAACAACAATATTTTTCAGGATTGTCAAGTTGACGTTAAAGATAGGTTATTAGGTGGTTGTCAAATAAAAACATAAATTATTGAAATTATTTAAATAAGAATAAAGGTTTTTTACCGCAGATTGGAAGAGATTTTACTTAAAGGTATTTTATAAACTTTCTCAGTGAGAATATTGACTCCTCTGTTTCTTATATCTCAGTTAAAGGGATGTAAGAACTATAGGATGTGCATTTTTGTTTTCATGTTTTGACGATATTCGAGAGTTCCTAGAATTATCAAGATTATTGAATAATTATAGTTGTCTAATAAGTGAAATTAATAGAAGACTTGGAGATAAGATGATGGGTTTCATCTTATAGTTGATAGATCACCCCGTTTTTCTTAATTTATGTTTTTATTTCAGTACAGTTAATCACAAATGGAATTGATATGTATGCAAAAACAGCTATGTATTTTAAAAAATCTTATTTAAATAGTTCTTTTAAATACTGTTAAACTATATTAACTACAAAGTCTTTAGCAAAAAGTTATAAGGTAATAAATTTTGTAGATATAATTTATGAAAATTTATATATAAAGATTAGAACACAATCCTCTGAGGAAAAAAAGAAATACTCAAAAACATACAAAAATAGTCATCCATGCAAACTGTAATAATCAGAACATTATCCACATTATACGTTTATTATTTGTGTTCACATTCCTGTCAGGAAAGCCAGAAATGTTTGTTTAAATATTAACTTATTTTAAATTGCCAGAAACACATCAGAATATGTCACAACCACAACTACAGGTTTGGAATCAATACTAAATATTATACCTAGTAAGTGATGCGTCAACTAACAAGTATAGGATAAAAAGAATTATTAATATAGTGTACTATACGATGTCCTTCTGTTTATTTATGAAGTGACTTTCCTTTCAAATGTGAGGAATACCGGTAAAATAAAACATAATTTTTGGTTTCTTATTCATTTTGCTGCTTTTTGCCGGTTAGGGAATACCGTGAAATGCCATAAATGAAGCTCAGCCAAAATTTACGCTGAAATTCAGCTGCTGTGTTTCCTGAACGCGCCCAATGATTTGTTTGAAATAATCTTTTTTTTTTTTGCAACCTTACATTTTAGGTGTTCGAGTATTCTGTCCAAGGCCAGTGGCCATAACTGTCGATACAGTAGGTGGTTGTTCAGTATTGCTCGGTCTTATTGCGATGGCCCAGGATCAAGAAAGCCTTTACGCTGGCGTTAAGGCTTTGGTATGCGTGGTTCGAAGTAATCGAGTTGCACAAGCCGAAATGGACAGAAGACGAAGTTACCAGACATTAGCGATGCTGCTTCGTCGCAAACGACATCTCCTCAACTCTCATATTCTTCATTTGGCCTTTGGTTTAGTTGGGACAGTTGATAGTGGTCGGTGAGTGTTAAAGTTGTATACAGTTCATACCAAATAAACTTTTAGTCACGTGATTAAGCTTGACCGGCACAGCGTTCCCCACTTTTATATGGAGTGGTCAGAATTAAAATGGATCAAGTCCAATTTCCTACTATTTTAAGATAATCGTCTTTATACGTTTATAAAATATTGTTTTTTCCAATAGAGAAATGGAATCAAGTCATACTTCACGCATTAAGCAGCTGTAGCCTGTTTCTATTTGGTTTCTGAATTTTCTGTTGATTTCTCTCAGAAGTGAGCTTGATCGAGTCTATAAAATTTAACGCTGTGCGCGATTTTCACACGCGTGCTAAAGTTTAGAAATATCTTCTCTTTATCCCGCCTATATACTAGAGATGAAACGGATATCCGGCAACTATCCGGTATCCGGCCTAAATTTACTATCCGGCCGGATACCGAATAGTAATTCAATATCCGGCCGGATACCGGATATTCAAAAAGTAACATAAATAACAAGAAATAATGTACTTACAGTTTAAACTGCTTTGATTTAAAACTGAAAATAACAAAAACTTCAAAAAAACCTACAAATAAATAAAATTTATTATTCACTTTAATGAAAAATACAAAAATGAAAACTTCATATAGTGACAATAATATAATTAATAATAAACAAAAAAAAAAACAAAAAATACACAGATTCTTAAAATTTACTATCTTGTTCTTTTTCTTTTATTGAAAGGGGATTTTAGAAAATTAATAGTCAAAATTAATAAGTGGCAAATTATGATGAATAAAATTTAAAATTTCAGCGTTTGTCGGTAATAGGCGATTTCGCTTGTTTTCGTAAACCAAATCAGCTTCGGAAAAGATCTTTTTAAAAACTGCTGAAAGGTATATTTTCGCAAATTTCGTGAAATTCGGTCTAGTGATTTGCGTTATCCGACCACCAACTGTAAGGGTCCCGGCTGTGATCAATTCGGACTGTTTTCAAGTAGTAGTCGATCACGCTTGCAATTGCAGTTTTCTCTTGATAGCGACATTGTCTATTATTTTCATCTGCGATTTTACTGAAATAATCGCGATGGCCGGATATTCGGCCATCCGGCCTCTCAGCTCACCCAATATTCGGTATTCGGTATCCGGCCAAACAACTATCCGTTTCATCACTACTATATACCATAATTTTTATAACAATCGAAGAAAACACTATTAATAGGCAATGCGAAGTCAACAAATCCCTTAATGACGAAGAAAAATGTATCAATGAACCAATTTATGTAATATCTAAAATTTCAAATATTTTCAGAGATAAAAGTCCAAAAAAGTATAAACAAACATTCTTAAAAATGACCACAGTTGTATTTTGAGTTACTCTGGTTTGCAATTACATATACAATTTAAAATACAGGGTGTCCCAGAAATAAGTGCAAGTATTTTAACTGGTAGTATAGTTTAACCACAGAAACACGCTTATGAGGGTTTTTTCGCGAAAAAAAAATTGAAAATTCAAAATTTTTTGAAAAATTTTTTGGAAATTTTTTGGAATTTTCTTTAGTTTTTAGTTAAAAAGCATAATTTCTAGATAATATGGCAACATAGGTATTAGATTAAATTTACAAGAAAGCAAATCCAGAAAAGATCCAGTGGTTCTCAAAATTTTAGTAAAAAATCTTTTTTTTTTTTGGAAATTTTCGAAGTACAGTACGTCTGTCCGTTCTGTAGCTCCGGGGTATCCGTGAGAGGGGAAACGATATTTTCTCGATGTTTTTCGTAAAAAATTAGACGACGCGTCCCATCAATAAAAATTCGACAAATTTGCAAGTAGCCAATAAAGTGAGTGGGCGGAGCGATTTGCGGTGACGCACTCGTCAAATCGACGTATAAAATATATTGCTGTTTGTTTAAATGTTTTTTGCCCGCATTCCTTTCGTAGACACAGATCCAGCAGATGTACTGTAAAATAACTCCGTTATTTTGGACTTATTTGAAAAACGATAAAGAGAAAATATGTTTCTTTTATGGAGATCTGGGACCCCTTAAAATACTTGCACTTATTTCTGGGACACCCTGTATAATAAAGCATTGTGTCAAGTTTTCTTGTCCAGCTTGTTTTGTTTTAATTAAGTAACATAAAAAGCCTTAACTCTCATTTTCTCCATAATTATCTTCTAAGACTTGATCCAGTTTACTTCTGAACCCCTCCTATATTTTCTTTTAATCAAAATATTTTAGGAAACAAAAATAAATTAATTATAAATATAAACAGTAATTATTTACATCAATAAAACCCACCTTCTTAACAGCACTTAAGGGACATAACTACCGCTTTCCCGTTCAAAATTTTCTAATTGCGATAAGTTTTTTACGGCTATTAAGCTATCTTGTACGCTTCGCACTAAAAGAGGTTCTAAAAAGAACAATGTTCGACTGCAAGGTCTGCTACTAAACATTTTTAAGCTTAAAGTATCACTTACTATTTATTTAAACCAAAAATTCGTAATAGAAAACTAAAGTATCAAAACAAATGACAATGTCAGAAAATATGTAAATATGGCAACTGCAATGCAAAATGCGGCAACTTGGCATTTTTAGAGCAGAGCTATCACGTGAATCCCCAGCGCGAAATTTAAATTCCAGTTAGTTAGCCCGGTGCCGAATATCTACATGGTTGGCAACAATGAATTTAAAAATCGCGCCCTCGATTACGTAACTAAAAGTTTAATTAATATGATATTAATATTTCAATTTATATAATTTTGTGTTAACTCTTTCACAGTGAGTCGTCGGCGATACCTAACAAAACAGCGTTTCAAGACTTACTCTGTGACTTGGAGGTTTGGCATGAAGCTCCAGGTGACCTCTTAAGATCTCATTTAGAACATCTGTATGAGTTAGTATCGGAGTCAAGTGAAAAGAAGCATAACACGTGGGTAATGAGGGACTTAGGATTGGTCGAGAAACTTCTGTATATAACACCAGAAGTGAAAAATGGGGCTTCAAAACAGGTAAGTTGAAAAATTTTTATTTTTATACTTAGAAGTTTTTAAGTAATGTTATCGAGGTTATCGAGTATACGGTTTTCAGAAACTTTTTATTTTCAACGTAATTTTGCTTTGCAACGCAAATTTTTTTTTGCAACTTAATTTTGCGTTGTATTGTAATGAATACGAAAAATATCTATAGCCACAAATAGATATACAGGGTGGTTTGAACTGTATTCCGGAAACTTCGGCAGCCTATTCAGCAGATCAAAATAAGTAAAAAAAGATCGTATAAATGTCCTAAAATGCTTAGTTTCAAAGATACAGGGTGTAGAATTTGCATTTTTATTTCGATTTTTTACAAATAATTTCGTAAGTAACGTCAATATATGGATGAAAAGTGCTGTCTGGGAGTTTTTTGACATGAGAAATTTGATTTTGTCAGTTTCACTCCTACTTATAGGGAGGGCGCCCGACATATTTTTTAACTGGTTTGACGATTAATAACTTTTCATCCGTACCTGTATAAAACTACCGAGTAAAAAATGTACATTTATGCCGTTTTTTACGTAAAAATGTCTCTTGGCAAAAATCGCGACGGGTAGGTTCTCGAGATATTTGGAACCGATATTATCAATACCTGTTATCATTGACATAAATTAAACACGTTGACTAAATAGTTATTCAACTGAAATGATAAATTTGAAATGTTTTTGTGCAAAAAGTTCAACAGAAACTGTTTTATCATCATTTTTTCGAAGAAAAATATATGATTAATTTTAAAAATAAGAAGTTCCCAATTTAATTTTCAATTACGTCAAATAGCTATCTACTCAACATGTTTATTTTTTGCCAATAATGACATGTATTGACTATTTCCACTCTAAATATCTTGAAAACGGTTGCTTGTAGCGATTTTTACCAAGATATATCTTTTACGTTAAAAATCACGGAAATGTATTTTTTTTCAGTCAGTAGTTTTATACAGGTACGGACGAAAAGTTATTAGGCGCTCCCTACAAATAGGAGTCATACTGATGTCAAAATCAAATTTCTCATGTCAAAAAACTCCCAGACACCAATTTTCATCCAAATATTGACGTTACTTCAAAAATTATTTGCAAAAAATCGAAATAAAAATGAAACTTCTACACCCTGTATCTCCAAAACTAAGCATTTGAGAACACATTTCAAAAATGCCAAGAAATTACATTTTTGAAATTACATTTCAAAAATGTAATTTCTTGGCATTTTCTTAACTCTTAAAATTTTAAGATTTTAATCCAGTATACAGGGTATTTCTGGCTAAGTTTGCATTACAAATTTTTAGAGACCTCAGATATTTAGATTGGAGCTTTTTTGCACATCAATGTTACAGAATAAGATGTAGCTCTCAATTAAAAATATAAAGTACCGTAAGTTAGGGATGTGTAGTTCGTGAACGAACTAGTTTCAATGAATTATTCCGACACCGGAACGAAAGGAACTAGTTGCCGGTTTCGCAAATGGCTAGTTCCTCAGGACCTATTACGAAGACCGATACTGTGACCGAGATATAATGATAATATGCGACACTGACGGATGTGCCAGCGCGATCGTAGCCCGATGCTAGGCGAGAGTGGGGAGTGCCAGCCGTATCTTATCGATCCTGGATCAAAAGGAATTAATGGAATTAAATAAAATACTAGTTGACAGACAGATCGGCCAGCGCGATTTTAGCCCGATGCTGGGCGACAGTGGGGAGTGCCAGCCGTATGTAACAGATCCGAGACCGAAAGGAACGAGAGGAACTAGAGGAACTAATTAAAACAGTAGTTTACGGGAATCTATTCAGGTCACAGTTCCGAGATGTAATACAAGGCGACGACGAGTAGAACAGCTACAGCATAATGGACATACATTTATTGTATTAATATTACATTAGTTCAAGGCAAATTTTAATCATTTTTTGCTTTTATTGTTTTAAGTTTTACCTAATGCGATCTTGTTCAATTAGTTAACTTTTGCCCCGTCTCCTGATATAGTTCTGTAGAAATAACCCCAGCAGGGGCATCTTGTATATGGATATAGCAACACCCTGTACGTTAACAAGCTTCTTTATATTACAGATTTTTAAGTAGTGTTTTTTTTGTCAGTAGTTCAAATGTACCGAGACAATTATAAACCTCACTTTTAGGTGCTGTTTTCACTGTTGAGTGTGTTACTGGGAAGTCAGCCTAGAGCCAATGATCTGTTATTATTCGGACAGTTTATAGCCTCCACTCTTCCACAAGTTGCAACTTTAAACGAAAAATCTGTCATATTGAAAGAGGGCGATCCAGATGCAGAGAATATTTTACTTAGGAACAGGTAATTTTATATTAACACACACACACAATTCCTCTTACTGGATCCTTATACGTTTTAGATGTTTAAATTTGTTACATTCGCTAGTATTTTCAAGTAGAAATCAAGTGGGAGAAGAGATTTCTAAAATATTGGGATTCGATTGGCTTCTCTTATTCATGCAACCCAACGTTCATTCCGCTAGTTGCGTCTGGGCTTTTAGGATATTGGTTGCCGCGTGTTCTAGTCCCTTTTTAATATGTCGGTAAGTAAAATAATATAAATATAATATAATCGTATTATAAGTTTGGTACATTCTCCGGCGGTGTTGCCACTATGTGAGAATATTGTAAACAGCGGACTAAACAAATACACGGATTTAAATAGGGAATACATGAAAAATTTGTTATACAGGGTGGTCCGAACTGTATTCCGGAAACTTCGACAGCATATTCTGCAGATAGAAATAAGTAAAAAGGTTCATATAAATTTATGTCCTAAAATGCATAGTTTCGGAGATACAGGGTGTAGAAGTTCCATTTTTATTTCGATTTTTTTCATATAATTTCTGATGTAAATACCTGGGTGAAAATTGGTGTCTTGGAGTTTTTTGAAATTAGAAATTTGGGATTTTGATGTCAATATAACTCCTATTTGTAGGGGGTGCCACAATATGTTTTAACACTTTTAAAGAGTAATAATTTTTCGTCCGTACTTGTATAAAAATATTGAGTGAAAAAATTTACATTTCCGTGATTTTTTTACTTAAAAAATATCTCTTGGTAAAAATCGCTACATCGCTACGTTTTTAAGATATTTAAAGTGGAAATAGTCAATATATGTCATTATTTGCAAAAAATAAACATGTTGAGTAGATAGTTATTTGAGGTAATTGAAAATTAAATTGGGAACTTCTTATTTTTAAAATTAATCATATATATAAAAAAATATACATTTTTGTAACTTTTTACGTAAAAAATGTTTCTTGGTAAAAATCGCTACGAGCAACCGTTCTGAAGATATTTAGAACGGAAATAGTTAATACATGTCATTAATGACCAAAAATAAACACCTTGAGTTGATAGTTATTTGGCTGAAATAATAAATTTGGGAAATTTTTATTTCTTTATATAATCTTAAATCTTACTGCGAAAAAATGATGATAAAACAGTTTCTGTTTAACTTTTGGCACAAGAACATTTAAAATTTATGATTTCAGTCTAATAACTATTTAGTCAACATGTTTAATTTATGTCAATGATGACAGCAAGTTATTGATAACTTCGATTTCAAATATCTCGAGAACCATTACTTGTAGCGATTTTTATCAAGAGACCTTTTTTACGTAAAATATATATATATATTTTTTTACTCAGTAGTTTTATAGAGGTACCGACGAAAAGTTATTGTTCTTCCAACCAGTTAGAAAATATGTAGTTGGCGTCCTCTACAAGTAGGAGTCATATTGACATCAAAATCAAATTTCTCATGTCAAAAAACTCCCAGACACAAATTTTCATCCAAATATTGGAAAAAATCGGAATATAAGTGAAACTTCTACACCCTGTATCTGCGAAACTAAGCATTTTAGGACATACATTTATACGAACTTTTTTACTTATTTTTATCTGCAGAATATGCTGCCGGAGTTTCCGGAATACAGTTCGGACCCCCCTGTATACTAAACTAAACAAAGAGCACCTTTTTTACCTAGCTTTTTATGTCGTTTGTTGAAATTACTGTATCTGTAAGGGTGAGAGAAGTACCACCCGTAGTACTCTCTACCCTTTTTTCCCCTTCTGAATTAACTGAAAAGAATTTAAAATTACCTTTCCAAAAATATAGCACACTTAATATTTTGTTATAATCCCCTTCGAAATACAGAATTTTTAAAAGTTCGCCACTTTTAACCAGTAGGCTTTGGACTTTGGACCCCATATTGATGATATGCCCTTAATGGAACTCGAAAACATATTTTTCCAGCAAGACGACGCACCGCCTCTGAACGCTGAAATTATCAGCAAATTTTTCCAGCCAATTTCAAGAATAATTGAATAGCTAACCAAGACCCCAGACGTTGGCCGTCGAGGCCGCCTGACTTAGTGCCCATGGACCTAATCCTATGGATATATTTGCGGAAGAATAAAGGTTCCTTATTCTTCCATATAATCTAGACAAGAATTAGAAATACTTAGCAGTTATGAGAGGGTATCTTTCACACCTACTGAGTTAATGAATTCCGCGAGAAATGTTCAAAAAACTGCCCCGTTTGTCCATAACAGAGATTTGATCGATATGTCGAACACCTGTATAAAATCTTATGTCTTGGTTTGCTATTTATTTTTTATTGTTATTAGATATAGTTTAAATGTGTTGATGTTGGTTAAATATATTTTAAATTGTTATAAAATTCTGCATCTCTCACCAAAATATTTTCTACTAATTGATGCTCACAGCTAGAATTTTTTTGCATTACAGCCGGCGAATTTTTATATACTCTATATCTCGAAGAGGAATCGAGCAAAATATCAAGTGTGTTATATTTTTGGAAAGGTAATTTTAAAGTATTTTCAATAAATTGTCAATCGAACTGTTAAGACCCAATTTTTCGCCATTCGCTTTGGCATTAAAATGTGTTTAAGAGTACCAAATTTCAGGAAAAACGGTTTACCAATGTTCTTATAAATAAAATATATTATTTTTATTCAACATTTCGAGGGACTTCTTCGGGAAGAATTTTAGGGCATATGTTCATAGGAACTTTTTGTTTTATTTATTTTACATTATTTTTTTGACACACTGTATAATATAATAAAATATCTCCCATCTATATATTGTAATTATTTACAAACCTGTAATGTAACTCACATTATTTCTAGACAGATTTAATGCTATGCACTTAATTTATTTTATTTGTACAGATTTCGAGAAGCAACAAGCAACGGCGGCTGGTTACGATACACTGAACAAGTAACCCACAACAGAATGGCAGTGGTCTTAGGATGCCCCACACATTCACCACTACTAAGTTCTGAGTTTAAATCTGACGCATTACACGTTCCCGGATTTCAGTATTTGGCATGGCTTCTCCCCTCCCACCTGGACATTCCAGAGCTCTACTTTCTTTTAACCGCTTTAATGATGGGCCAACCTGCCAAATTGCTGCCGGTCGAAACAAAGTTCGATCTGGACACCGTATGGGCGTTTTTATGGGGTTCTTCGGTGAATAACCAGTCTATAAATAGTGTAATGCCAAGAATAACATTAAGTCCCGAGGCTGTGGTCGTTTTACTTGGAATGATGAGGGCGTTGTTACATTCCGATCCTTCCAATTTACCCGATTGGTTAAAGGATCATATTGTATCCATAATACAGGTACATCATTAGTATAAAATAATAAGTATCTTTAGATGTTTTATTTGTATTGTTTTAGGTTTTGTTTCAACTTTATCATAATATGCCGGAGTTTATGCCAGTTTTTATGTCTTCTGAGGTATTGACGGCTTTAGCCAGTGTGTTATTCCCTCCAAATAATCGATCTGAAGAGAGTGAGGAGAGTAGTGGAACTTCTTCTCCTACCGGAGAGGAGGCATCAGACATGATTGTTGTACCAAGGTAAAAGAATTTTTGTATATTTTTTTTTCATCGGACAACTTTTGTGTGGTTATGAAACGATTTCAGAAGTTTTAGGATTGATTATAGGCGCAGGCGCCAATTTTATACTATTTCTTGATGATATTTGATGATGTTTTTTATATGCGGCACATGTTTGACATTACACCGAGACTGTCTAATCTATTAAAATAACGATTTTAATATATGTTTTATCTAACACGTAATTGTAATGTAATTGTAGACAAAATTACCTAAAGTAATCGCAAAACATTTTCCGATGCACGTCATCAATCATATTAAATTTGACACTAAAGCCTATAAACCTGACTAAATTAAATTTTGGCAAAAATGTTTAAAATTTTTTTGTATAGTTTAAGATACCGAGCAGCTCTTCATTTTACTTTATAGAGCAAATGATTGTAACATATATTTTATTTAGATTAAAGCTGGAAAAATTAGTTTAAACCAAATTTTATTATTGCTATGTTGGTCACATTGCGCCGTGTTCAGCAACGTTGTCGTTTATTATTTGATTAATATCATAATGTAAATCATTATTTTGTATAATATCGTATTGTTTTTGAATCTTTGTGAGCAATTCTCGTCTTTTGCCTATTTTCAAAGTCTTTTTTTTAAATTGTACTTTTAAGCACAAACAGTTTTTTTAAGAACTAAATTTTAGAGTTTTTGTATTGTATTTCCTTAAATTTTTGTTGAAAATATGCCGAAGCATTTAAACAGTCGTAGCTTCCCTGATAAACTATTTTGAACGAGAACGTGACGATAAAGGTCCTTTATTATCCTTGACTGCAGTCATAGAAGTTAGTTGATTGGTAAGCACATTATACCACTTTCAAAGTTATTTCTGCGTTTGTCGCTACAGTGCGTTTAATCGACTAAATGCAACTAATATAAAAAGACAGAGCTCGGAACTTATCAGTTAAAGATACATTTTGATGATAAAGCATTCTTTGTTTTATTTTCGACACGCAAGGCAGCGCGTGTTATTATATTTATGTTTTCTTCTGATTACTTTCTGGACATGTATTTCCCCATTTCAATAATACCCAATACAATAAAAACGGTTTTTTAAATTTACGCTTTTTCCAATGAAATTCCCTGTGAACAACTCCGTATTCCGATCACTTTCGTTACGTTGCTTGGACTGAGTTTGGTATGTTTTTGCTCTTAGTTGTACATTTAGAGGACATTTTGTTTCGATATAATATTGTCGAGGATTTTATCAGAGCAGCCATTCTGAAGCTAATCGATTTTTATATTATTAATTTATCATTAAGGGTTGCTTGGTCACTGTCTATAGAATCAGTGGCATAGTGTATTGACTGTTCCTGTTTTGGTTATCCCAGAACTTAAAATCTAAATGTAACGGCTATATGACTTGAGCCTAGTGCTGTAATGTAATGTAATACGAGAATTCGTTAATTAATGCCGGAAAATGCGAACAACTACGATGCTCCATTCGATTGTCAGTTTTTAGCGAATCTCTTTGATTGTTACCTTACCAGTCAGGATATAGTACGAGAGCTAGCAACGTCGAAAAAAAAAGAATTTTAAGACGTCTGACTCTTTGATATATCTTTTACTATGCTCTCTAGAACAGCATGCGGCTCGTCTGGCTGCCGGTAAACGTTGCGTTCTCTACTGCGCATTGAAAGAAGATCCTATATTTTTATTAGTCTTTTAAATTCTAGTATTGAATATTAATCGAACATGTCTCCATAGCGCAGTGCGTAGAGTTTCCGACCACGAACCGATGATTCAGAGTTCGAATCCGGGTCAGGTCAAAGACTTTTTTATTTTATTTTCGTTTATATTCTGATAGTAAAGTATTAAATATTTGTTTTTTTTTAATTACCAGAATTATTTAATACTTTACTATCAAAATATAAACGAAAATAAAATAAAAAAGTCTTTGACCTGACCCGGATTCGAACTCTAAATCATCGGTTCGTGGTCGGAAACTACGCACTGCGTTATGGAGACATGTTCGATTTATATTCAATACTAGAATTTATAGGACTAAATTAATAAAAATATAGGATTTTCTTTGGATGCGCAGTAGTGAACGCAACGGGTATCGGCAGCCAGACGGGCCGCATGCTGTTCCAGAGAGCATAGTAAAAGATATATCAAAGAGCCAGACGTCTTAAAATACTTTCTCGAAAACGTTGTTACATCTTAGACTAATAGGTGCGGCGAATGTCCGTATTCCTATCACATTTCTAGTAGATACAGTAGTTTTAATTGTGATGAAACGCGTATCTTAATTGACGGTGCAAGAAATATAATAAATAGCTAAAAAAATTGAATAAATGTAACACTCACAATTTTTAGATCCCGCATTTTTTAAAGGCTTAAAAAATACTGAAACACAACGAGCCGACTATTCGAAAGCGCTCGTCGCGAGCAGCGAACATGCGTTACATTACAGCGCTCGGCTCAAGACAGTCTCCGTCTTAACAGTTCCATTGACAAGAACGTCCAGAAACTGTATACAGAAGTTTTTTCATTCTTAACCATAAACTTCAAAGCATTATTTTGTGAAATGAGATGACATTGAAAGGAATTAAACTTTCTTATCGGTTCCATTTGAATTTACGAAGGTATCGTCAATATATCGGAGCCACATTTTCTTAACGAAACTGACTGAAACTATAATTTTTAAAATTATTGGAAGATCTTGCATTTTACCCATTTTATATTTTTAGAACGCCATCAGAAGATGAACCATTGACATCACATCCTGCCAGACAATTTGTGATTGATTTTATCAGAGTTATTGTGGTCGATTCCCTTAGTCTCTCTACCACCTTGAAAACTTCTCCGGTAATAGACTTGGTTTTAGACGCCTTTCCAGATGATTCAAGCAATTCCCAACAAGTAGCTTACCAAACAGAAGTACGATCTATTTTTATTAATATATTTAGGAAAAAAAAATAATATAATTATCTTTAGGTATTGGTAACACTGATGGATCATTTACTGGCAGCTGATATGTTGGTAGGAGACCAGGCAGCTATTCCGATTGTGCCTCTGGTTAATGCTCATATTCAACATGTTGCTCCAAACGTGTTTTATTTGACGTCTAGAATTATGGATAAACTTTGGCAAGGGGCTCTTAATAGGGACCCACATGAAGTATTTGATTTTATAGGTAATATATAGTTTGTGTTTTATAAATAAAGATTATTATATAAACAACTTTTGTTATAGTAAAATTAATTGGGCAGGCGAAAAGACGGACAGGAAACTTATCCTTGGAAGGACTGTATCATTGTTTAAATCGCAGTATATTGTATCTTCTTTCTAGAAATACAGAGTCTATAGCTGATCAGATGTCTGTTCTGGAAGCATTGCATAAATTAACGACAAATAGGTAAGATATAAAGCAATTACATTATCTTGTAAACTCTGGAAACGTTTTCTTAAATCAATTTTTACTTCCATAAGGGCCGAATTACTAATGGGGTTTACTGATATTATTTGGACGTTCAATTTTATTGCAGTGTAAGATCAGTATCATAGAAAGATCAGTGTTTGAGATCTTTATACTGTTGAAGCAAATTCGAAAAGTAGCTGAAATAATAATTTGAATGCTGCTGAATTTCGCAAATTTTCTACGAAAAGCATTTAGTTTGAAGCTTTATTCAGAACCTCGCAATTAGTGGAATAAATTAGTGGTGTCAATATTACCCTTTATACATTTTAATTCACTATACAAAAAAATCCTTATGGGTTTTTCGCCACTGCACTGCAAGAAAAATCTACAAAATAAAATAGTTATTTTTTTTATATAAATTCTCGCGAACCTACCATAACATTTACTTTAGAAGTAGAGAGAGGTAATCGTTTGCCATTTCTTGATGTTTTAGTGTCAAAATTTCAAAATAAACTAATTTTAGATGTTTACAGAAAACCCACAAACACAGATAGATACTTAAATTTCACATCTAATCACAGTATAAGTGTAAAAAAAGGTGTTATAAAAAGTTTATATGATAGGACAAAAATAATATGTACAGACGATATTTCACTAAACAAAGATATAAACCACATAAAAAATACATTAATAAAAAACGACTATCCACCATATTTTATTGACAAAATATTAAACGAAATACAAACCCCAAATCATAGACACAAAGATAACAATACACAATATATACATCTTACAATTCCATACATACGAGGCGTTTTGGAAAAAATAAGAACGATAGGAAAACAATATAACATACAAACATCTTTCAAAACACAAAATACACTTAGATCAATTTTATCACATACTAAACCAATGAATACAGAACAACAAACAAAAAATGTAATATACCAAATACTCTGTGAATGCGATAAATTTTACATTGGTGAAACATCTAGACCCTTAAATGTTAGAATTAAAGAACATAAAGATTATTTAAGCAAGGGAGATTTTCACATTTGTCAGCATTCATGGGACACAGGGCACAGAATAAGTTTTAATAACGCCAAAATTATAATGAAAGAAGCGATAGCCTCTAAAAGAAAAATAAAAGAGGCTTTTTTAATTCAATCTAATAAAAATAAATGTATTGCTCATGCATCTGTAGATGTTAGTAATGTATGGCAATCGCTTCTTTGATTTTAAAGAACATTACATAAATAAACATAACATAGGTGAAATTTAAAAAATAATCATACATAAAGTTTGGGCTTTTTGGTTTTACCTTATTAAGTAATTATCAGGTAGTAATTGTTAATTTTGAAGTTATTAACTTAATATAATGTAATTTTAACAGAACGTCAACGATTTCTTGTAGACGTATCTATTTTAAAAAGTAAAGTGTTCTCGAATAGTTCAATTTAAATATTTTAAATAGTTTTTTTCTTGATTCTTTATATTTTTTGCTTCCGACGACGGAAAGAGAAAACTTTCCGAAACGTTAAGCATTTTTTTCTTTGTTAGGCAAATTTTTATTACTGTAAACACAACTTCTGACAAGCAGCGTCCGTTTAGGTTTAACGCCAGAAGTGTTTACAAAAAATAACTATTTTATTTTGTAGATTTTTCTTGCAGTGCAGTGGCGAAAAACCCATAAGGATTTTTTTGGATAGATGAATCCGCCACATAGGTATAGATATTTTTTTAATCATTCACTATGTCTAAAAACACAATTAAAATTAATAGACTATCCTAGTGACAGCTTGCGGAAATCAGTTGTATCCATAGAGAAAGCCTAGTATTTAGCTTATAAAACAATAAAGTTTTGATTTCTAACCACATTTTTCTCTTGACAGATGATAATCAAAGGCCAAAATGACATTCCTCGCAAATTTTGAAATATAATTGGCGGAAAAGTTGAAAGTTTGTTAACTTTTTCCACTAATTCAAAATTCCTACCACTAATTTTGACGTTCTGAATGCTTTACATTCAAATTAGAGGAACGAACTTCTACCCTAATTAAAACCACTAATTTATTCCATTAATTGCGAGGTTCTGAATGAAGCTTTTAATCCAAAAAAACTTTTGACTCATTGGTTAATGGGCGATTTGATATGATTGCTGCGGATAGAATTGTAACTATTATCAAAAGAATTATAACTATTTATTTCTGTTTCATTGAAAAGGGAATTTAAATTTCTCCAAATACGTAAAAATATTCAGGGTTTCATTCAACGATCTTATTTCCGGGAAAAATATGCAGTGATAAATGTTTTGACTCAATTATGTTTAATAACTTATAGTCTGTCCAGCAAGAGGATATACAGGGTCCGGCAATAGTGCGTCGGGCATCTGTAGCTCCTAGAATAAAAAACTTGAGAATTTTGTTTTAAGTGCAAACCTAAAGTATGCATCAGGATGTATTTCAGGAAAATATTTTAACTTCTATAGGGTGGCTCAAAAAAGTATGAGTGGACCTGGAAAGACTGGTCTTCAGCATTTTTTTGTATTTAGAGTATTTCAAAATTTTTAACGGTTTCGCAGATACGCGCAGTATTATTTCATATGGCGCTTTCAATGGTAAAATACGAGAGAAAAATCATTGGGTGGCTTTAATAAAAATTTACTGTGGAAAATGCCATATGAAATATAAACCCGCAAATATCTGCGAAACCGCTAAAAATTTTGAAATACTCTAAATACAAAAAATGTTCATTTTTTAATTCTCAGTCTATTGAAAAAATAATATACAGGGTGTTCCATTTAAAAAAACAAAGAAAAATTATTTTATATTTTAGAAAGTTTGGCGTAGAATTTTGAACATCCTGTATAATTTACGATTTTCATATTTATAGCAAAGTAAGTACAGACCATCTAAAGTAAGTACTTAATATAGTTTTGATTTCAGAACAGTTCTTGTATTTTTTGAATATTTTTTTTAAGAATGGGCTGAATAATATATATTTTTGATTTATTTTTTAATATCTCTGAAACTATCGAAATATATTTATTCATATCTTAGGGTTATGTAAAGTGATCTGAAAGGAAGCCAAAAATGCAATAATATACAGGGTGTTCCATTTAAAAAAAATCATCAAGGTCCACTCACACTTTTTTGAGCCACCCTATAGAAGTTAAAATATTTTCCTAAAATACATCCTGGTACATACTTTAGGTTTGCACTTAAACAAAATGCTCAAGTTTTTTATTCTAAGAGCTACAGATGCCCGACGCACTATTGCCGGACCCTGTATAAGTTGGACAAAATAACTTTAAAAGATGACATAAAACTATAACATGGCAAAAAACTATAACTTCAGTAAAGCCAACTACCCGCATCTTTATAATATTATCCTTACCACTAACTGGAACTTTTTAGAAGGCATGGAAGACGTTAACGCAGCAGTCGAGACTTTCTATAATAAACTGTATGAACTCTTTGACCAATCCATTCCACTCTACAAACAGTATAAAAATAACAAAAAGTGTTCCTACCCATCATGGTATACATCCGAAATCATCAGTAACATTAAGGAGAAATCTAGAATCTTTAAGAGATGGAAAATCAATCGATCTCCGGAATCCTATGGGGCTTTTAAAACTCTTAGAGCAGTGATTAAGCAACAACTTGATAGTGCTTATAAAACGTATATAATCGCTGCTCAGGACTCACTACGAGCTGAAACCAGAGAATTTTGGAAATATATTCAGCAGAAACGGAATAGATCTCGTATTCCTGGCACTCTTAGAAACAGTTATAATAGTCCTCTTGACAATCCCACTGACATTGTAAATTCTTTTGCCAATTTTTTCCAAGGTGTTTATATTGTTTCAAGCCCTAGCAATGTCTCATATGAATGTGGTAATAATATTTCTTTGGAGACATTTGACACCGAAGATGTGCTGAAGTCCTTAAAGTTCACTAAAACAGAAAAACGGCTGGCCCAGATAAAATACCTTCCTTTCTTATAAGGGATTACGCTTTTGTTCTGGCTGAACCATTAACTAGACTTTTTAACCTTTCTATCTCAACACAAACATTTCCTAGTGTTTGGAAGCAAGCCAAGATTTGTCCAATTTTTAAAACGGGCAACAGAGATATCATTGAGAATTATCGTCCGGTCTCAATTCTATCCAACATTGCAAAGGCCTTCGAGAGGTGTATACATAATAAACTATTTTTCAAAATTAAAAATTTGATAACACCATCTCAACATGGCTTTCTTCCAGGGCGATCAACTGTCACCAATTTAACATGCTTTCTTGAATATACATATAACTCTATCGATGAAGGTTATCAGGTTGATGCTGTTTACACAGACTTCTCGAAGGCCTTTAATAAGATGGACCATGGGATTATGACAGAGAAAATGTCACAAATGGGATTTGATAATAAATTAATAAAGTTCTTTTCCTCATACGTACATCAACGCAAGCAATATGTTGAATATAATGGTCACAGATCGTGTCCCTTTATATCCACTAGCGGTGCACCGCAGGGCAGCTGTTTGGCACCACTGATATTTTCAATATACATAAACGATATAGTGACCCAATTAAAGAGCTGTTCGCTTTTATTTGCAGATGATCTGAAGATTTTTAGTGTCGTCCGGTGTAAGGATGACTGCATCCGTCTGCAGGCCGATCTTGATATTATCTCTAATTGGTGCGTGGAAAATCGACTTGCTTTAAACACCTCTAAATGTAAAAAAATGTCCTATTCTCTTAAACGTATTGAACTTGACCACCCCTATACCATAAATAGCGCAATCCTGGAAAATTGTGAGCATGTTAAGGACTTGGGTGTTTACTTGGATAAGAAACTGACTTTTAACATACATATTGATGAAGTATCCCGTGGCGCTCTTAAATCTTTAGGATTTCTCCTGAGATCCACAGAAGGTTTCAATAGTCCACTATGTCTAACGGCATTATACATGAGCCTTGTGAAATCAAAAATCAATTATGCCTCTCAAATTTGGTCCAATTCACCAGGTCCATATACGGAGATTAGAAAACGTTCAGCGTAAATTCCTAAAATATCTCTCGTTCAAACTGGATGGTGTTTTCCCAGAGCGTGATTATAACCACTTACAGCTGTTGCAAAGGTTTGATCTCTTATCTATTGAGCAAACTCATAGACTTCACTCTTTATCTTTCCTTTATAAACTTTGTAACGGTCATGCGGACTGCGCTTCGTTATTAGCTCGGCTGAACTTTTCAGCTCCGCTCGTTCGTACTAGAAATCAAAACACCTGTCAAACGTCAGGACTTGTTTAGCCGGTAAGGCACCCCTCTACCGGGCCTGTACTGATTTCAATTATGTTGAGGGCCTGGCATCTGTTGATATATTTGGCGACTCGCTGCGTCAATTCAGGAATGTTTTGGTCCGGCAAATGAAGAATCCTAGCATTTTTTATATTTTTTATTGTAGTTCGTTAGAATTAGAGTTTTACTTTCACTTTTAAATTTATACTAGGTGTTATTTTTTTTTAAGATTACATATAAATTTGTTATATTTTGCATTGTACTTTTATTGTTGATTTGTGCTTATGTTAGCTTCATTTATTATGAATGTTGTGAATTTTTTAATTTACACAATTGTCTTTAATTTGGGATTTCCTGTTAGACAATATAGTTATTAACGTAATAAGGCCGATAAATAACAAATAACGGCCGGGCTGAAGTTTGTGATCCGAGGCGATAGCCGAGGATCATAAGCAGCCAAGGCCGTTATTTGTTATCGGCCGTGTTGCGTTCTAGATTTTTCGTCATACTGCAGATTTTTTAGAGCAATAAACACTACTATTTAATAACAAATTTTATTGAACAATAACACAAGTAAGGATAAAAATACATAATGTCTTATACTAAAATTCATTTTTCATGATAATGAACATGGAAATTAAAAGTGCACTTGTTGTTCTTAGAAATCTGTAATCCTTCCCAGGGATTTACAGATTTTATAGAAGAAGATGATGCTACTGAAGAATGGCAAATATTTGTATCCACTAAAGACACATTATTTTTGGAGCTATCATGAAAAAGTTGATTTGTTATTTTCATTCTTTTGAAACTGATTTTTCTATGTAAGTTTCTGCCACTGTTGAAGACTCCCATCCTCCTAGCTCCTTTAGCGATAGTAAATCACCACCATTTTCGGCGAGCATGGTTGCTGATGATCTACGAAATGAATGCCCTGTATAACGTTCTGATTCTCCAAGTTCAAAAATTTTGCAATTTTCTGCGGTACGCTCCCCGATGGTATGTATACCGACGATTTGCTTAACACACTTGCCTTTCTTGTAACCAATGAAAATTTTTGATTGTCAAAGTTACGAGGACGCAGGTTGATGTATTTTTGTATAAACCATAGGCATCAAACGGAAGGCCCGTTTTTGGAATAAGAAATTTCCTATCTTTCTTATTTTTAGTATTTCTTAATGAGACAAGAATATTTTCTCTCCGAATCTTCGAAATCATCAACTGTGAGTGACCAAAGCTCGCTGCGCCTACAAGCTCCAAGAATACCAAGCACCAATACAATTTTTTCGAGTAACCAGGTGTAATCATCGGCATCCAGTAGAAAATTATTTATGTCATTCTCCGACAGAACTTTGGCTTTTTTGGTGAATAACCTTCGTTTTTGCGCCTCAGAAACATGAACAGTTTACCAAATCTATGAACAAATATAATTTAGATGAGTATGATTAAATATCGAAGAATATAATGGCTTTTACCTTGATATGTCGATGTTTTCATATACTCTCAACGCAAGCTTCAGCATGGATATCTTTGTCCACAGTGATGTAGGAGAATACATTTCAGACATTCTTTTAGCATAAGCCAGCAATACCGCTTCATTTACGCTGTTTATACTTCTATCCTGCCGCCACTTCAAAAAATTGTCATATTCCTGCTGATATCTCTCTCTGGTTATAGTCGGAAGTAAATTTTGAGTAGCCGCAGCCGCTTCCTCCTGTATTTCCAACGGAATTTCTCGCGACATCTCGCTATGGTCTATTTTCCCAATTTTTGATAAGTCCAACTGACAATAAATAGTCATTGTTGCAGGTGACAGACGTTACGATTACCTTAGAAACTTAACGGCCGCCGGCCGTTATGATAACGTCCGGCGGACGTTATATGCATCTTTTCCATTCTGATTTTGCTTATGTTATAATAATATAACAATATAGTATGACGAAAAACTATTATTTATTTATTTATTTATTTACTTATTTATAACAATTCAATTTTGAGTTAAATTATCGGAATCAATGTTATATATTCTGGCGCCGGACAAACTTTTTGTACACATCAAAATATTTGACGAATTCACGTCGCAATATTGCTATGGGCACTTTTTTACTTTGATTTTTGACAAGTGTTAAAATTCGTAATTTTGTCATCGATTTTTCACTTCAGTTTTAGATACAACACGTATAAAAATATTTTTTCATTTGCATTATTACTTTGATCTGTGATTATTACATAAACAAATTCTAAACAAATTAAGTTATTAGCAAGTTTTCTGAATGGAAGCTGAAAAATGTAAAGTTCTAATTGGTTTAACATTAGTCTCTTCTACTATTTCTAAGCTCTATTATTTATGAGTTTACTCACAGTCCGTAAACTGAAATTAAGTGCAGCTGAATCATACTGAAAGATATGTATTTGAATCATACTGAAAGATATTGTATTAAACTATGTATTTTCAATAAAAGCCGCAAATTTAAGAGACAATATCAATTTTTACCTCCCTAACGCACATTAAATGCAAAAGGAGCTCGCCATGATTCTTTCCTATACAAAAAAATTGAGTAGAGATGAGATAAGCTGCTGATTCTGACTATTTAGTGATTTTGGCATTTTATTGCAAAAAATTCGCAGTTTTAGCTAAACACAAAACATAGATTTAATTTCAAATTTGTCAAAGGAAATTCAAAAGTAAAACTGAAAATGACAGATATCCCTAGATAATATATTACTTCGAATATCAGATTTGCGAAGAAGGATTTCACGACAACCAGCAACATTTACCATGACTACCAACATAAAGCCTTTTTTAAATAACACACGAGACCAAATTGTACCATGGCTCCAAACAGTGCCATGGCCACATATTTTTCTTAACTTAGCTGCTTGAAGAGATATTTATATTTTTTGATAAATGTTTTGACTACGCCTATGGTGTATGCGGTGGTATCATATTAATTAATTACGAAAAAAAAACGTATTAAAATGTTAACTAAATGAAACAACTAACTATGAAACGTAACTCCTGGCCCTTTCTTATCGTTGCGGCTTTTACGCTTGAAAGCTGAACACATCACCATTGTAATAAACTTTATATAAAGTTGACTACTACGCACAACAAGCTATTAAAAATCGCTAAAATTGTCGCTGTTGACGAGCTGGTGACTCCAAAATTATGGCATCTAACAGCACAAATTCTGATCCAGGCCGTATATGGGCGTTTCGCGTTTTTGTATTCTTTAGTCATTGGCCAATTCGTTTACTTGATGTGACATCATACGTCTCTTTAATCAGGATATATAACATTATACTAAGATTCAAATTATATTTTATTTATTAGAACTTTAATTTGATAATAGTTTAGATATCTAATGACGTGCATGCCAACTTTTAGTGATTTCTCTCTAGGTTTTATTTAAGATTAAATCTTTATTTTCAGATTGATAGTATTTGGCGCAGGCAACCACGAACTCGACTTTATCGGTTGCTTGACCTACTGCCTGCTTCAACTCACCGCTGACATGAGGATCGCCTTAGAATTTGGCGGAGGTCACTCGGCCCCAAGAACCACCTGGCACGTGAATCCAGGTCAGGATTTAGAGGCTCGCGACGAATTGTTAAATGCCCATCAAGGTCGTAACTTAATGGCTACGGCTGCGGCAAGGGTCTGGGAAGAATTGTACGTTTGTAAGAAGCCCGCCATAGAGGAAGTGTTTAAAGTTACGTTACCGTCGCCTAACGCGAATGCCAAAGCACCGGATTTGACGGTAGTTCGAGAGCAAGTTTACGATGCCGCTTTGAAGTTATGGTTAAATTATATTGATGCGGAAAGGAAAGCAGTGTATAGGGTGAGTACAAGTATATAAACGTATACATTTCACCTTTATTGTCAAAGCTGCTTCTCTTGCGATTGTGGTTATGTTTTTATCTCTAGATAAAACTCAAGGTCGTGGTAAGTATCTGGTATAGTCAGACTATACTTGTATTTACTGAGAGTGGGTCACTGGTCAACTGCGGCCGCAAGGATCTATTGTGTCTCAGTTCTACAAACTTTAAAATTTGCACTTGAGACTCAACCTTTTAATATAGGTTGATATATCCGAGGATGATGTCACCAAGGTTTGATAAGTCTGAGTTGTCTAAACAACTCAAACTTGGTCCTGCTTTCAGTTTGGAAAGCACACATAACGTGCTTCATAGTTTCGTCATTTTCCATACAGAGTCGGCCATCGATATCTTGCAATAAGGTATTTTTCGCGACCATACGTATCTTACTGGGTATGTGTATGGCAGGTTATGTGGATTTTCTGCTACTTAAGCTCCTAAATTGTTTATCGTCTATGCTTAATTCAAATTATTGAAGATTTTTTTGATTTTGTGTTTACAATAAAAATGTTTCCAAAAAATCCTATATGCGTATTTCGCCATTGCAGAAAAATCTACAAAATAAAATAGTTATTTTTTGTAAACACTTCTGCGTTAATCCAAACGGAATATACTTGTCAGAAGTTAGGTTTACAGATATACAATTGCCTAACGAACAAAAAATGCTTAACGTTTCGGAAAGTTTATCTCTTTCCGTCGTCGGAAGCAAAAAAATACAAAGAATAGAGAAAAAAACTATTTAAATATTTAAATTCAACTTTAGTTTCGAGAACACTTTAGTTTTTTAAAACAGATACGTCTACAAAAACCGTTGACGTTCTGTTGTTGTTCTTAATAAAAATGTTAGATTTATTATTTGCTTCCTCATTATGTTGTACTAGACCTAGTTTATTATAATATTTACCAAATTAAATTTATCCAGCATTTCGTTTAACATAGATACTCATTACTGCCGATAGTTATGTCCCGATATGTCATTTGCCATTTAATTCACAAAAACTAACTTCACAAATATTTTCCTCACATTTTTTTTCTCACAGAAACATATTTATGATATACACTATATACCCAACTAAGAAAAGCATGTCGCGAAAAATCGGTTAATGAATATAAAAATATTATATCCCTTTCACTCTTTTTTATTCAATATTTGATTGAGATGATCATCTGTCGTATGATTGTGACAGTTAATTATTTTAGTTAAAAGCTTCATTCAGAACCTCGCAATTAATGGAATAAATTAGTGGTTTCAATTACACTTTAGTTTACGATCGTTCACAGTGTCTAAAAAACACAATTAAAATTAATAGAATATCCAAGCCACAGCTTGCGGTAGTCAGTTGTATCCATAGAGAAAGCCAAATATTTAGCTTATACAACAATATACTTTTGATTTCTAACCACAATTTCTCTTGACGGATGATAATCAAAGGTCAAAATATCATTTCCCGCAAATTTTGAATATAGTGATATACATAATTAGTAAAAAAGTCGAAAGTTTGTTAACTTTTTCTACTAATTGAAAATGACTACCACTAATTTAAACGTTCTGAATGCTTACATTGAAATTAAAGGAACAAACTTCTTCGCTAATTGAAACCACTAATTTATTCCACTAATTGCGAGGTTCTGAATGAAGCTAAAAACTAAATTGTTTTTTTTTATCAATTTTTGGATGTCTTGTCGAAATTTTTACTTTTCTCGCTGGGAATTTTTTACAGAAATTGTGGATATTTTTGATACCTCTTTACTACTGACTTATAAAACTGGTCCTGATACTAAGCATTAGATTCATAGTTCATATCTGCTGTGGCCCTCTTCTGATTCTTAGGATATATTCTCCAGTCTTATCCTTTTTACAAAGTCTAGTAACTTGAAAACTGAGCCCTCCATATTATAGCTCTTTGTCAATGACCTACCATTGCCTAGTACAAAGAACCGCAGAGAACCAGGCTGAACCAGGCTGTCGCACCGACAATAAATGTGTTCTGTCGTTTCTTTTTCAGATTAAGAAAATCTGTGCATGGTTTTGTCTGTCCTATTAAGCTTATAATGCCCTGTTAGACCTACTACAGCTTTGACTGTCTTTCTGTCTTTGCTTATCAAGTCTGCCGTGAATGTTGGCACATGTTCTACTATGAACTTTTTCGTCCATCTCTGCCCTGGTAAATTTCTCCATCATTCTAGAGATTTGTTGGTTCCCCACCGTTTTGTGGCCATTCCTGTGACTGCTTTTTTTAACGCAGCACAGGGGTCCTGGACCTATGAATGGCATTGATGAGCCTTGTTTGGAAATTTCATCTGCCTTTTATTTACCCTTATGACCTTCGTACCCTGGAACGACGTAACATTGCTACGCCTACCCAATGTGTTGATACTAGGTATATGTGAATTGCAGGTTCCATGGGAGTTGCATAATCAACTTCAATCAAAAATCCATAAAGTGACTGGCGGTTTGACGCGACTGGCCAGCAGGACAAAAGTCCGCAAGGAAGAGACCGCAAGGGTCAGGGTCAGAATGGGCCGTAAACGAGCCATTGCCTGGATGCTTAGTCATATTGGCATAATTCGTGATTTAGTTGAAATGAGGCGACAGCAACATCAAAATACTACCAACCATACTCAAAGGTAGATATTTTAATTTTATATAAAAGTATTTTTTTCAAACGTCACAAAAGTATTAATATTTAATTGTGTAATTTTAACGCCTAGGCATAAAAGTAAAACACTTTTACGCCTAAGCAGCGCCTACCTAACCAAAGCATACCTAAGCAACGCCTAAGCGCCTTTCGTACTTTTACGAAAATATATTATTAACCTGACATAAAGTGTCAAATTCAACTTGTCAGCGTAACCATAGTTTCTTGATAATCACATAATTACATACAAGGTATGACTTTTAAATATCTTTTTATATTATTTGGAACGTTTGAAATTGTTTAAAAAATTATTTGTGGCGTCTGAAAAAAAATAGCATGTTCTATTCGGAATAAAAATTACTTTTTGTGTCTTGCATACATATGTTTTGCATACGTTGTACATGATCTGGCGCTGCTATAGCGGTTGCTAAGAACAAGAACAGAAATAATTTTCTCTTGTCAAAGTCAGAATATTCAAAAATTATAAAATCTCTCAAAATTTAAACTGCCCTCATTGAAAAAATACCGAAAAGCGTTTAAAGCGTCCATTTTCATTCAAAGTAATTATTTCTATCTTGTGAGTTTAATTTAAATTTTATTCACTCAAACTCGTAATAATTGTGAAAAAGTAGCATGAAAAACTTAAAAAGCTGTGTGAACTGTGAACTGCTAGTAGATCCTGGCATAACGTCGGTTTCCAATGTTTCAAAGGTATTTCATACATGTCCTTATATAAAATAAAGTTTCTTATGTGCAACATACTGTATTTTATTTAAAAAATTAAAAGCAAATAATAAATTTGAATGAAGAATATTTGGCGACATAATTCCGGAAAAAGCCAAACCGCTTCGAAATTATCAAAAGCTTTGGAGAGCGACCGTTGTAAGAATAGCGCCAAATAGTATTTATGTATTTACATATTGACCTTATGGGCACTTTACAATCTAAACTTGTGATTTTTACTCCTAATAAAACAATATACTATTCTTAATATATATTTTTTTATCTAGATATGTGCATCAGGAGTGGTTACAAACCGAGAACGAATTAACTAGAGAACGAGGTTTATGGGGACCTCCGGAGCCCTGCGACTTGGATAAATGGATGTTAGACATGACTGAAGGTCCTCATAGAATGCGAAAGAAAACCATGAGAAACGACTTGTTTTATTTGCATTATCCGTACAGACCCGATCACGAGAAAGGACTTTTAAAATACAAAGTGGCAACCAGCTATCACAGCAAAGAGTACTTCCAAGTCCTTCAATTGAGACAACACAACAGCGTCAGCGGATTTACCCTTGAACCTCCCGAAAGAACGGATAGTATTTCCGAAGAACCTTCACCTCTACCTTACGCTTCCATACCTCCTTTAGCAAGACTGACCTCGGATATCGAGGACCAACAAGAAGAGAACGACGGAGACGAAGAACAACCGTCCGCGCAGCCCGACAATCAAACTTTGCTGCGGTTGCTTCAGCATAACGAAAAAATTACGTATATGTTTCGGGTGGCTAGAATTCAAGGGCTGGACACGACAGAAGGACTGTTGCTTTTCGGACAGGAACATTGCTACATCGTTGACGGATTTACCTTGCTTAAGAATAGAGAAATTCGAGATATTGACAGTGTGCCGCATAATGCTAATGAATATGAACCGATATTACCGAATCCTGGTTCGCCAAGAAGGTCTAGGGCTATGAGACAATGCTCCAAGTTTTCTTATGACGATATACGAGAGGTTCATAAAAGAAGGTAACTTTAAAATTATATAAAAAATGTCTATACCTAAGTGGCGGTTTGATCTCTCCAAAAAAAATTCTATATTGGTACTTCGCCACTGCAAGAAAATCTACAAAATAAAATAGTTATTTTTTGTAAACAGTGCTGCGTTTATCAGTAAATTTAACTACTTGTCAGCAGTTAAGTTTACTGATAAACAAATTTGCCTAACAAACAAAAAAATGCTTAACGTTTCGGAAAGTTTATCTCTTTCCGTCGTCGGAAGCAAAAAATACAACGAATGTAGAAAAAAACTATTTAAAATATTTAAATGCAACTATTCGAGAACACTTTACTTTTTTTTAGTTTTTTTAAAACAGATATGTACGTATACAAAAACCGTTGACGTTCTGTTAAAATGATATTATATTAAGTTAAACTTCAGAATTAACAATTATTACCTGATAACAATTACTTAATAAGGTAAAACCAAAAAGCCTCAAACTTTCTGTATGATTATTTTAAATTTGTTTTTAATTTTTACGTATATTATGTTTATTTATGTTAGGTTCTTTAAAATCAAAGAAGCGATTGCCATACATTACTAACATCTACAGATGTATGAGCAGTACACTTATTTTTATGATTGTATTAAAAAAGCCTCTTTTATTTTTCTTTTAGACGCTATCGTTTCTTTCATTGTCATTTTGGCGACGGACGACGACGGAAAGAGATAAACTTTCCGAAACGTTAAGCATTTTTTGTTTGTTAGGCAAATTTGTTTATCAGTAAACTTAACAGCTGACAAGTAGTTTCCGTTGGATTAACGCAGCAGTGTTTACAAAAAATAACTATTTCATTTTGTAGATTTTCTTGCAGTGCCGAAATACCCATATAGGATTTTTTTGGAGAGTAAAATTATAGTTTGACATAGTATTAAAACTCTTTTCTAGGTACTTACTCCAACCGATGGCATTGGAAGTATTCTCCAGGGACGGACGGAATTATTTGCTTGCATTTCCAAGAAAACAGAGGAACAAAGTGTACCAAAGATTTATGGCGACAGCAACTGGAATTGCTGACAGTGCCCAGCAATCTGTAGCGGGTCAGAAACGAACGGCCAATGTCGAACAAGCTACCAGTTTGCTCAGTAATCTTATTGGCGAAACCAGCGTTACTCAAAGGTATGTTACTATCAGAACCACAGATTATAATAATAATAATAGCTCCCGTCTATAGCGTTTAACGCCTTGGGAGTAGCAAGGTACAGCTTGCCATACTAGAGCCGTTCGGTATACAAGGAAGGTAATGTGGCTAGCACTACCCTTCAACCGCCTATTATTACCTCAGGATTGTGAATCCCAAGTACTCATTTAAGGCTGAGTCGACCTAGGTACCCAAACTATTTTTATTTTTATTTTAATAAAAATAGTCGGCTGATGCAATGCCGGGTGTGGGATTCGAACCCACTACCTTCAGATTGGTAGACGAGAGCCTGTACCTCTACGCCACCGGGCACCCTTACCACAGATTATACAGATTATAAACTTATCGTCAAAAGCATTGTTTTTCGTGGTTCCAATTTTTGGAGTCGCGCACTAGTTAGGTTACTAGTTTGCGCACATAGCACGTCCACTTATGGCCTCTAAAATTGTGCACAGCGCCTGACCGGCCCAGTTATTACGCTGTTTAAACGCCAGTTTATTTTTGCGCACTGGAAATAGACTTCGATTGCTTAGAAAATTACATAGTTTTAGAATTTTTTAAATTACTTAGTTTGTTCGAATTGTTAATCAAAAACTGTTAAAATTATTGACATTGAAGTTTAACGATGAATATCTTTTAAACGGTTAATTTGATCGACTAATCATAAAAAAACATTTTTGTAAAGCAGTGAATTTACTACAAAACCATAAGTTATTGCGCGTATCATAATGATTTTTTGTTAACAAGTTACAAAAATTCATAAGAAAAAAGAAGACTGCCTTAAAATAATCCAACTTCAACCTTTAATAATGTTCCAACAGTGAGGTTTACAAAAAAATTGTAAGGTACATTTTTTGTAGAGAATTCAATTTCCTACAAATATATTAGACGAGATATTTTTTCCAAATAGTAGATACCGAGATAATCGATCTTTCTTTCTAATAATAAGGAAAAAATAGGTAACTGAAAGGCGGAGGACCTTCCTATTAAAATTAAGAGCTCATACAGAATTTTTTTGAGGTGTCTACCAACCTTTTTTTTCAGAGTGTAAAGTGAAAAAAAAATAGTCGATTTTTTTGACCCACCCTAATAATTGGTTAATAATTTATCGAAAAATCAATGTGCAACATTTCTGATGCATTACTTTCTTATTTTCCGTTTTCAGATGGGTTAGGGGAGAAATCTCAAATTTCCAGTATTTGATGTACTTGAACACCTTAGCCGGCCGATCCTATAACGACCTCATGCAATATCCAGTTTTCCCATGGATTTTAGCAGACTACGATTCCGAGGAACTGGATTTAACTGATCCGTCAACGTTTCGCGATTTCACGAAACCAATGGGAGCGCAAAGTCCGGAAAGATTGGAGCAGTTCAAAAAGCGCTATAAAGTAGGATTTTTAATTTATTTTATTTAGAACTTTAACAAATTGACTGTTTTTTCAATTTTTGGTTTACCCGTATTTACCTTTTTTTCCCCATCAGAACTAGCGGAAAAAAATCAAATATGAAAGCAACTTTTCAATCAAATTAAAACAGCATTTTAAAATATTTCCTTATTGATCCCTTCCTAGTGAAAATAGTGCATTTCTGTATTCAAGGATTGGGCAATAACCAGTAATATTTTATAGCTGGATAAGCTTGGTTGGCTTTTGCTTTTATTTCTTATTGAAAGTAACAGATTTTCGACAACAGAGTTTCTGCCAAGGTTGAAGAAACTGGAATATTAGCGCAATTTAACTTTGACCTTTTTAGAGTTAGAATTAACGAATTCCTCAATATCAATAGCATTCGTGTTTGAAATTTTTATTTTGAATTTTAAGATGTATTGAATTAGTTATAGTTTTTCCGAAGTCAATTGGGAATAGGATGGAACTCTTAATTTGGGGCATCGTTTGTACAAACGAATTAAGAGTCCCAGTATTTCCAATTGTCTTCGGAAATACTATACACTATTGTCTTTATTATAGCGGATTAGGTTCTATTTGTGATACGTAACTTTTAGAATCGGATTGTTTACAAACAGGATTATGTCATTATTGAAGGACATCGACACTTGATACTTAAAGCTATGCTCTGATTTGTTACTCACAACAATCCTACTTTTTAAAGCAAAATCTGTTATAAACTGGTTTGAATTTTTGCAACTAACTGCTCTCTAGCAACTTTTATTGATTGAAATGCTGCGATTAAAAATTATACCAAATTTTTTTTTGGCGCAGTTTAACTAATATATTAGGGATTTGTTGAAAACGATAATAAAAATTATGAATATTCTAATAGTATTATAGAATAAAGCTTGATTTTCATGATATCTGACGATACGATGATACAATATTAATTTTATTTGTTGAATTTAGAGATTGGTTATAAAATTACGCAGTTTTTAAATGTATTGCATTTTCATGCCTTCGTTCATCGGTGCGATTTGCTTGTGATTGGTGCCATTTTATATTTTCATTTCCATAACGATTTCGATGTTTTACTTATAGGCAACGTTTTCGAGAGAGAATTTTAAGAAAGCTGGATCTTTAATATATCTTTTCCTATGCTCTCCTGAACAGAGTGCGGACCATCTGGCTGCCGCGCCGGTAGACGTTACGTTCACTACTGCGCATCATATCTGTATTCAACATCTGTTCACTTCTGCACAACACAAATTCGCCCTGTATTTCAGGAACTAAGGAGGTTAGAATAAACCGATGTGTAGTATATTTAGTTTTATAAAAAAGTAGGAAAGTAATGTGAAAATCGAATCATTGTATCTCTATTCATAAACGAGAAATTCCATAAAACACACGAAAATGTGATACCCTGTACAGATGTTATGCGCAGTAGTCTACCGGCATGCGGCAGCCAGACGGTTTGCACTTTGGTCAGGAGAGAATAACAATAGATATATTAAAGAATCAGCTTTCTTAAAATTCTCGTTTTCCCGACTCTTGTACTATTATATTTTCATTAAAGTTAGATTAAATTTGTCAAAAAAGTGTTAAAACGTCCGTTATTGTACTATCTTTAACAGTTGACGGGCTGGAGTAAAAAAAAATATGGATGAAAAGTGGCGCGAAAACGCTATGGCCAATCAGAACGCTGTCGGATCATCGTATCAACGGATAACGAACGCATGAAAATGAAGCTTAAATATTATAAGTCTGTTGCAATCGTAATAAGATTTCGAAATTAAGGCTTCGGCCTCTAACATTTTCCGAGCACTGGCAAATTTGACTTCTGGCTTCTAGCATAGTGTATATATTTTTTAATGATTACCGAAATTGCCGGTCTTTGAAAATGATTTACCGGTAATATTTTACCGCGTTTTTAGTTCATTTTAACCGGTAAACAATAAACCGTCAATGCAATCTCTATTTAGCACGTATAATTTACTTTTAGGAATGGGATGACCCGCATGGTGAAACTCCTCCATACCATTATGGCACTCATTACTCAAGCGCTATGATAGTATGTTCTTATTTAGTGCGCTTGGAACCTTTTACTCAGCATTTCCTGCGACTACAGGGAGGCCATTTTGATTTAGCCGATCGAATGTTTCATTCCGTTAAAGAAGGCTGGCTTTCCGCTTCGAAACACAACATGGCCGACGTGAAAGAACTTATACCGGAATTCTTCTATTTACCTGAATTTTTAGAGAATTCTAACCAGTTCGATTTGGGCGTAAAACAAAATGGCATAGGTAAGATCGATGTCCAATTTTACCAATTTTACCGTGCTGGCAACTGTTAACGATGGGTCGTCCTCTGCCGGAAACACTGCGACCTGTGAGGCCAACTGTTACTTTTGGGTTGGCATTTACATGTGTGGAAGTAAATCGCATAGGGATCTTATTAAGTCGGAGTGAGATAAATGCGACGGTGTGCTGTTGCGGCGCGGCGTTGCCGGTACGCCTTTCCCTATCAAGTAAAGTAAAATCACGATCGCAAACCGCTTATTTTTAAAAGACTTTTTTTCAAGAGATAAAATCATTAGACATGTCCCTGCGCATCTGAAATGGAATTATAAGGATATCGTTAGGGTGTCATTTTTTTATAACGAGAAAACGTCAGTAATCGCGCGATAATTTAAAAACTCAACTTTTTAACACATAACAGACCATAACTCAAGAACCACTTTAGATATTGAAATTTTTTTTTTATTTTCAAGATCGGATATTTTACAATATGTTTACATAAAAAAAATACGATAAGGCTGTTTTTTCCATTCAAAAATTGTATACAATCCATCCATTTACTTTTAGAGCACAGCAATTTTCAGCAATCGTGTAATTTTTTTATTGATATAGATTTTCACATACTGTCTACAAAGAAAATACAGCAGAAATATTAACATAGTTCTTGAAAAAAAACTATTTAAAAAATTTAAACTATTATTTCTAATAGATTTCGAGATATCGATTTTTGAATTCAGAGTTCTAATAGCGCGACCACTATCGAACACCCACTCAATTCCACTTATTTTTACCAAAAATGCAAGTGTTTCTAGCTTGCACTTAAAAAAATTCAAACTAGAGAGAAAATTACAACGACTCGTTAATAAATAAACAAATTAAGTATCACGAGACGTAATTAAATCGTGAAGCTGAACACATGACGTACACCTTTCCCTAGAACTTTAAGTACTGACAGAGGTATTGATATTGATTGGGTCGACCGGTCAACTGCGACAAATCTGCTTATCCCCTTCCACGCCTCTTAGCGATGTGCACAGTTTCTCGGTTTATTTCATACGTTTGGCAACGTGTTTACTGTCCTCTCTTTGTTCAGTACATTATAAACGCATTGTACTCTTCTTACATACGGAAATCTCGACCCAAGACTAACCTTTGCCAGCCCTTAGTAGATGTCTAAGTTAAATGTTTATGACGTAACGAAGTTGAAATCTAAGATATAAATACAGCGCAGCCTCTTTAATCGGACCAGCTGATTGTAAAACAGCCTCTACACCGTCCCGAAATGTTTTACGAAATATTTCCAGAAATTTCGCAAAACATTTCTGGAAATACTTTCAGAAGTAAACTCAAATATAAGCCCGTGTTATAAAAATTAGTTCCCATGTTTCCTGAAATAGATCGAGTAATTGGTTGTTTGTTTTTTATTGTTAACCCGGATTAACAATAAAAAACAAACAACCAATTACGGCGCGTCTCGATCTATTTCAGGAAACGTGGGAACTAATTTTGGTAACAAGGGCTTATATTTATCGTACTATTTTGTGAAATAACACGAAGCAATCAAGGTCAAACCTTGTGGTGGCTTCAGAAAAATAAGTAAACACGGTGTATGAATAAATATTATTAATTTGTAATGGAGTGTAATGTAATACCACTATATCAAACTAATATGAAAAATCAAAAACAGTGCATTTAGAAAACAGTTACCGATGGTAAATTAAATTGCCTATTCCTCTAAGGTTACACAAGAATATTTAGTTTTAATCAATGTCTGGCATTATTGAATACAATATAGTAAAAAATATATTTCCAAAACTTAAAATCGTAAAACTGCAGGGCAATTTGCAGTGACTCATTGTTCTGGCGGTCCGCCTTTTATAAGTTGCCACGGCATTTTTAAAAAATCGTCTAATTATTTCTTATTTTTGAATGCATCAAAACATGTTATTATTATATATAAAAGTATCTTTTATTGACATCTGGTCAATCAATAATTTTCCCAATCAGCTCGATATATTGATGATGATCAGTATTACTAATCAAGCAATACTACTGTTATATTAATCAATTAAGGCCGCGTAAACAAACATAACATTATTTATATACTAATTCATTATAATAAAAACATATTCTAATTATATTCCTGCAGATTGAGTGAAAAGTTTTGTTTTTAAATATCTACTCTACATATTATTAAACGCGTGTTCAAATATTAATTTTGTGGAATATATATCAACATAAAACGAGATGTAGTTAACGAAATATTATCGTACCAACAGCTATTTTAGAAACGTCTAGGCTTACTTATTTCACTGAGATTAATGGAAAGAAATCCCTTTACCTCGGGTACAGATACCGCTAGGTTTTGGAAATAGCTCAAAACGAAACAAAATTGAACGAGACAACAGCGAATACATTCACTATGCATATTGTATAATAAAAAAATATATAATGGTATTTAAGATAATTACAAAAGACCAATTTTTTAAAAGTTTTAACATCCTGTAACTTTAAAACTATGCCTTTCCGCACTCATGCTTATAGGAACTTTTTTATGAAGTCATGGCCAACTATGGTTTCCATTTACAAAAAAAAAACATGTTTGTTTCATATGTCAAAAATAACACGCTTAAGAAAAACACGGAGAACACAGTCTCATAAAGGATGTGATTTGGAATTATCTACAACTTTTATCAGATAACATTTTCTCTAAAATAGATTTTAATGGAATTAGGGAGTATTTTTAAAATTGTCGAAATTTGTTTTTTTTTAAATATCTAGTAAGCCATAAACTTTTTCGAAAATCCAAAAGGCGCATATGTTTTACCTCACAAAACTGCAATTCTTTCCGCATTTGACCGATTCTCTAAATACCGTAGTTTCTGAGATACCCATGGAGAACATCTTAGAAAACTCACCCTGTATATATTATATGAAAATAAATCTTGTTTTTACGTGAGGAATCTCCCCACGAGAGATGACACTAGTTTTTTTAAACACCCTGTATAGCATACAAATCCATTTTTTTATTACTAGAAAAAAAAACTAGAAACAGATCATAGGTTACAGTTTTGATTGTGTTTAATTAGAGTGATATATACAGACCGTACAGACCGGACCACCGTAGTAGTAACATAGGCAGAACCGGACGAATTAGCGTATACCCGTCCGCCGGATAAAAAGCAGGCGAAAAAATGCGATAAAATAAAAATAGGTAGATATGTGATAAGAATGTTTCAGAATTTGTATTTATTCGTGTTTTAATAGTCTAAACGAATACATAGATTCTCGCGACAGTTCTCGTGTAAAATTTATTTTTTAAGTAAAATAATGGATGTTTACGAAATTCGTGAGAAAATTCAAATTGTAAAATGGTATTTCCAAAATAGGTCTTATATATAGGAATATACAAACAATTTTTCCACAAACTTTTGTAAACAGGCCAATTCCATCTTTACCTACTGTATCAAGAGTTATTAATAATTTTGAAACACATGGGTGCGTGTTCCCACAAAAACACAAAAAGCCTGATGTGTTGATTAATGAAGAACAGGAGTTAAAGCAAATGTTCATTTGTGCTACCGCGGATCAAAATCCCACGTTTTCAAGTAATCAAATTGCTGAGGTGGTTGTCCTGCCCACAATGCCCGTATTGTTCAAGAATATTTGAACAATACTTTTCCCAACCGTTTAATTAGTGGATATGGAACTATTTTGTGGCCCGCTAGATCACCAGATCTTTCTCCCAATGACTTATTTTTGTGGGGTTATGTAAAATCCAAAGTGTATGGTCATAATAGGGCTAATAACCTTCAAGTAAAAATACGAGAGGATTTCCAAACTATTAGCCCTAATATGTTAGCCAATGTCAGACTGGGATTTTACGACCGCCTAGGCTTCTGTCTAGCACAGGAAGATGGTCTTTTTGAACACTTGTTATAACTTTTTCTTATTTAGAGTAATATTTTAGTTTTTTTTTGGGTTTAGAGAATTTATTTATTTTTAGTTTTGGCTTGTAAACACACTCAAATAATAAATATTTAAGTATTTTCATTTTAAATGTTACCTTAAGTGAAGGTAAACACTTAAAATGAAAATAATAAATACTCGGCACTCCTCGCGTCGTATTCCTAGTCTGTCACGACCGACCCGTCCAAGCACAACTGCAACTGCGTACTGTCTGACCAGCCGACTAGCCGGCAATCTCGAGTACGGACGCAAAACGGGTAAACGTAAATTCGTCCAGCAACTTGCTATGTTACTAGTAGCCTGGTCTTCTCTGTATAAGTTCTGTCTTAAAAATTACATCTAAAAAAATACAGATAATGTACTTTTGTCAGTCTATATTTCACTTGAATTACACCATAGTGGAAGTTTGTTATATTATTACGGTTTTTAGGACTGGGTGATGTCATATTACCACCATGGGCAAAACAAGACACTAGAGAGTTTATTAGAGCTCACAGGATGGCATTGGAATGCGATTATGTATCGCAAAACTTGCATCATTGGATTGATCTTATTTTTGGATACAAACAGCATAGTCAACCTGCCGTGGAGGCTGTAAATGTTTTTCATCATTTGTTTTACGAAGGAAACGTAGATATTTATAATATCGACGATCCGTTAAAGAAGGTATGTTACTGTTTAAAATACATTTACATCATTTACTTATGTAACTACTATGTAATTATTTTTTTAGAACGCAACCATTGGGTTTATTAACAATTTTGGTCAGATTCCTAAGCAGCTGTTTAAGAAACCCCATCCGTCTAAGAGAATGGGTGGCAATAATAGAACTTCAGTTATAGATACGGGATCGTTGGTGCAGGCTTTTACTTTACCACAACCTGAAAAACTGTTTTTCCATCACCTCGACAATCTTAGACCTTCTTTACAACCAATAAAAGGTACAGTGTAAATATTTTTATTAAATATATTATTGGCGTAGAAGTAAACCCATGGAGATTTAAATGTTATTACATTAGTTGATTATACGAAAATGGAAATATATAGAAACAAAATATGTTATGTGGGAAGGCAATGTGCACAATTTAAAATTATTTTGAAATGTACAGGGTATGTCAGAAGTCAGAACTAAGACCCACACCAAAGTTTGGTATTTTATTTAATATTTGGATCTTTGGACACAAAATAAAGCATTCATTATATAAGGGTTAAATATATGTTTACAAGCTTTGGTTTTTGAGATATTTAAATATGCATGCTATAATAAAAAAGATTGTCAACACCCTGTACATTGCTTTTCAGAATTAATTCTTGTGCGGGGCTTTTAAGCCAAAAAAATAAACTTTACTGAAAAATTTGATTGCTTCTGATGTATACAGGGGTATCAAAAACTGCTGGTCTATTTTAAATATTTATTTTAACACCTTGTATTTTTTTAAATAAATCGAAGCATATCTTAATGCTCTTTCAAACTATATTAGGGTTACTTATACCTATCTAACTCAGATTTTGAATAATGAGCATTTTTTCAATAAAATGGCAACCAAGAGGGCTAATAATGTCGTCATGGCAAGTTTTTAGTGACAGTTAGAAGGTATTTTCAAAATCCACCAAATCAACGATTTTAAACATATTTAACCCTTTTAATAAATGCCCTTTTGGGCTCAAGAATCCAAAAATTAAATAAAATACCGGGTGTTCCATAAGAAAAAAATAACTTTGGTATGGATCTTAGTACTGAAACACCCTGTATATTTCAAAATAATTTTAAATTGTGCACACTGCCTCCTCGCATATACTCATAAAATATCATATACCCATCTACATCTTTCCGTTTTCGTATAATCAACCGAGGCGAATGAAGTGCGCCACCCTGTATTATGATGTAATTAGATATTAGTTTAGTGATGGGTTGTTATTTAACTATCTGTTATTTTATAACTATTATTTAGAAATAACATAACGGCAACCGTTACTACTTTTAAAAAATAACAGATATAAAATAACGACACGCAGAGATCGATTGTTCGTGAAACGAAGTCGGCGCTCTGCACCGCCACGAAATTCGATGTTGCTCGAAGCAATTCCAAAAAACAACTAGTATGGATGGAAAACATGTTATTTCGACAACCCTCGATACAGGCGGCGAGATACAATGGACAACGGAGTGGGGTATGCGCTACGGCGCGGCGCGGCGCGGCGTGTTGGGCTTATAACAGCTTAACGTATATTTTATTTTGTTGTTTTACATATTTTAAGATTTTTAAAAAATATATACAGGGTGTTTCATAAAATATGACCATTGAGTAATCATGATTCTGCTTAAACTGCTTGACGTTTAAAGTTGATTTTTGGCAAACGGATTGACTGTGAGGTGTAACTTTGTGGTGTAGAGGTTCGATAAGGAGGGGTTTCTCGAATCTCAAATTCCAAGAGGGTGAAAACACCTTCAAATATTACAATATTTGTTATTTAAAAAACGGTTAGTCTTTTGAGAAAACGCTTGGACACGCATAATTTATTTTGTTTTTTTTACATAAATTGATTTTTTTTAAAAAATCATACAGGGTGTTCCAAAAAGTTGAGTAATTGATTAACCACGATTCTGCTTAAACTGCTCGACGTTTAAAGCTTATTTTTGGGAAACGTGAGAAAATTTTATCCGTTTGTATGTTAATGGAAATTTTTGCTTTGTTTTATCATCGCCATTACAAATTAATAATTCGACGCGAACGAAGTCGCGGGTACACGCTAGTTTAAGTGTAAGATTAATTCGAACTCTAGTGTGTAGTTGGTTTACTTATGAAGAATATACTACACATTTTCTTATATTGCTATTTTTTTACCGCATATGGTAAAATCATAACTAAGAGCTTCTCGCCCGTCGAGTGAGATGTACCCTGTACACTGCTACGCAATTCAGGATCTACGCGGATCGAGGGGCAGGGCGTAGGCACATCGGAATGTATAGGTATAGACAAGTGGCGGCATTTTGGCTTTTTTATATCGCAATTTGTAAACAGTGCTTATTTGTAAACAACCACCGTTTTTAGAGAGGTATTTTATATACATATATTTATATAATTTTTTTATTATATAATATAGATAACAATCGATATTTAGAAATGTTATGACACCCTGGAAATACTACCACCGAGCACGTCATTATTGCAACTTACAACTGCGTTAATACGCCTGGCGGTGACCGCCTCATACTCTTTCAGATATTTAGTAATAAAATAATGAAACCTGTTATTTTTAAGCTGTTATTTTAAGCTGTTTTTTTATAAATAACTATAACAGTTTCAACTGTTATCTAAAAATAACAGTTTTGCCCATCACTAGTGTAGTTTAATTTAAACTATTTTAATTTTGATTAATTATAAATCTTATTGTTTTCAGAAGTAAAAGGTCCAGTAGGTCAAATATTACAGGTGGAGAAGTCCGTGTTGGCTGTTGAACAAAACAAAGTCCTTATGCCGCCTTCGTTTAACAAATACGTAGCGTGGGGCTTCGCGGACCATTCCATTAGGATAGGCAATTACGACAGCGATAAGGCGGTATTTGTTTCCGAAAACGTCGAGCAGAATAACGGAGAGATTTTGGCCTGTGTCTGTCCCTCACCCAAGTTGATTGTCACAGCAGGAACCAGCTCGGTAAGTTATTACAACTTTAATGTTACTGTTAGTTGAGGGTTGGAACCTTTGGTGTCACAACAGCAAAATAAAACACTAGTTCACCTCAATACACCAAAACACTTTACTTTTGCACTGGGCGCGCGTTTTTATAACCATGTTAGCATGAGCAGCAGATGATTAAAACTAAAACTATGAAAAGAGCTTGTGCGCAGAGTGCAGTTCAAAGGAAAAGTGCAAAAGTAAAGTGTTTTGGTGCATTGAGGTGAATTAGTGTTTGATTTTGCTAACTTTAATGTGTAAATTAATGTTATAATAATAGCTCCCGGTATATAGCGTTTAACGCCTTGGGAGTAGCAAGGTACAGCTTGCTATACTAGAGCCGTTCGGTATACAAGGAAGGTACTGTGGCTAGCACTACGCTTCAACCGCCTATTATTACCTCAGGATTGTGAATCCCAAGTACTCATTCAAGGCTGAGTCAACCTAGGTACCCAAACTATTTTTATTTTAATAAAAATAGTCGGCTGATGAAATGCCGGGTGTGGGAATCGAACTCACACCTTGAGATTGGTAGACAGTCGAGGAGCTTGCCTCCGGCTGAAGAACCCGTGAGGTGGAAGCTGGAGGATCTGTCTCCATTTTCTCCACCTCTTTAACTTGGTCTCCCCTTAGATCTGATACCGGTGTTGTCCCGTATCTATAATAGAGGATATGTCCCTCTTTCTCTATTGCCTCCTTAGATTTGAGGTCAATTCCTATTGTGAGGACCTGACCATGACCCTCCTCCTTCGAGTTGATGACTCGCCAACTCGATGTCCTTACATTGAAGTTCTGACCCTGGATAAGGCTCAGCAGGTAGGTGGTGTCTTTCCCCTTGCTCCTCGACAGAAAGACCGTGATGGCCGCCCTTTTATTTAGTTTTTGGTTTAAGTGAATTGTGTTGATATATTTTAATCTTACCTTAAACTTAACTTTTTTTACTAGCAGACCTTGCACTCAAACGTTGTTCCTTTTAGAACTTCTTTAGTGCAAAGTGTACAATATAGCTTAATAGCCGTTGTAAAAAGCTCATCGCTCTTTATGTTCGTTAAGTGCTGTTAAGGAGGTGAGTTTTGTTGATGTAAATAATAACTGTTTATATATTTATAATTAATTATTTTTTTTCCTAAATGTTTTCATTAAAAGAAAATATGTAAAAGCGGGCAATGATGTGCCGTTCAAGCTTAATCACGTGACTAAAAGTTTATTTGATATGAACTTATCTCATTGCAGCAAATTGCAAAAATCTCATTTTTATTGGCAAAATGTGGAGATAGAGACACATATACAATATATCTAAAAAAGTCAAAGAGAAAAGTTGTTTAAAATCTTATTTAGATTTATTACATCTTATCTACTAAATTTCATAAATATACACGGGCTTCAAAAAATATCAATTTTCCATAATTTTTCTAAAAAAGAATAAAAAAAAAATTTAATCATAATAACGAGATAGGGTAGAGCGATTCTATTGAAAGTCATTTCTAATGCGGTAATTTTATTTATTACCCCCCTCCCCCCAATGATAAGTTACTTTTTAGACTGTTGCAAGCCTATAGAAAAAAAATTGTACGCATAACAAATGCAACATTATAGACTTTCTAAAAGGCCTTCTGGGTACTATGCCGCTGGAAGAAAATCTACAAAATAAAATAGTTATTTTAACACCGCTGTCGTCGGAAGCAAAAAACGCAAAGAACAAAGAAAAAACTATTTAAAATATCTAAATAGAACACTTCGGTTTTTTTCAACAGATACGTCTATTGTAGAATATAGAATGTTTAGGAGGGGAGTTAATCACCGCGACCTTAAAGATCTATTGTGTGTTCCCCTTTCTTGAGTTATAACGAGTTATAACTCATCATACAGTCTCAGGGCTTTAACAAAAGCCAGTATTTGAGACAGCTCCATAGAGGCCAGCTCTCCATCCTCGACGTCAGACGTACCAAAGTACATGGCACGAATGGTCGCCGTCTCGGCGCACTCGGTGATAAGGTGTTCTGGTTTTTCCCCATTTTCCCCACAGAATCTGCATTCGCCGTTGTTTCTCAGCTTCAGTCTATTAAAAACTGTTAAATTGACCAGTTGGTCCTCGTTGGATCAACGCAGCTGTGTTAAAAATAATAAATAGGTATATAACTATTTTATTTTGAAGATTTTTTTTTACAGTGGCGTGATATCCAGAACACACAGAAAGTTTTTGTATATTTATGAAACTAGGTACATAATGTAAAATCAAATTCTAAATAACTTTTGTTGTTAATTTTTTGCGGTATTTTTTTTATATTTTTTTTTTATCCCCTAATTCCACTTTTTTCATCAGCAAGGAGAATTTTTGTACGCCGTGAAAGTTGTGTCATAACATTTGTCAAAATTATTTTTCTCGTTATTGGACATGCTGAAGTAATTTCAGGTAATTGTACTGGATAATGTTACTCTAACTATAGTTTTCTCTGTATACTATTTTATATAGAACTCTACTTTGTTTTTAGTCTCCATATAAGTTTTATAAATATAAATATTTTTCAGGTTGTTACAGTTTGGGAGTACGACTCTAGAAAGAAAACAACTGGCATTAAGCATAGTTTGTATGCTCACACGGAAGCCGTAACTTGCCTAGCGGCCAGTCCAGCATACAATGTTATTGTATCAGGATCACGTGATTCCACGGCTATAATATGGGATCTTTCACGTGGTGCATTTGTTCGACAATTAAGAGGTAATTTTTGTAATCAAAACTGCCGATTCTTGACCGATTTTAATGCTTTAATGGCATACCGATTTGGTCATCGAAACTGTGCGGTCTGGATTTTAACGTGTAAGACAGTGATGTAGACAGCTTAATGGAAAATCAAATGTATTAAAAAGAGATAAAAATTGGGTCGACACATTTCTTCTATGCGGTATTGCCGGATTTTGCATCAAAATTTCAAACCGCACAAGTAGGCGTTTACGAAAAATGTTCCTTTTAGGGTTGGAACTTTATTTTTCAGTATTAGTTACTCATTTTACTACAGCTGTAATAGATTATATTCAGTCTAGATCTATTATCAAAATTTCAGTAGTATGCATGACAGTTTTTAAAATAGCTCATATTTTTCTTCATACATTTTCCTACAAACGTAAAAAACCGGCAACACTGTATGCCGCTTTTGATTTTGTCTCTCTGTCAACCGGTATTCTCTGTCACACTCATTAAAATCTAGACCACATAAATTGGATGCCAGCAGGATATATTTTTTCATTTGTACGCATTTAAATAGTTTAATTATTTTACATAGGGCATGCGGGACCGGTCGCCGCCGTAGCTGTTAACGAACTGACTGGCGATATCGCTACCTGTGCCGCCACCTGGCTGCACGTATGGAGCATTAACGGTTGTCCGCTGGCAACGGTAAACACCTGTGTTGGCAGAGCCGATCGCATGCAACAAATTCTTTGCGTAGCCTTCTCTCAGGCCCACGATTGGGACCCATTAAACGTTGTCATTACTGGCTCCACAGATGGCGTAACTAGAGTGAGTTAATGCGTGTTTCTTAATATTTCATTTATTTAAGAATGTTACTTATAATTTTTTGGTACATATTTTAGATGTGGTCTATAGATTACGTTCAGGTGCCAATTGAGTGCGATCCAAATTTCCCCAGTCAAAGGCTTCAGTCTGACAGTAGTAAAACGTCAATAACTAACGAACCATGTAGGCCATCTCCATCACAGCATCGTTTGGTCAAGCAGATCCACGTGTCTCATGATAGCTGCGGGAGTTTGTTGAAATCTGGATCTGAAAGCAGTCTTTCTGAAGACCTAGGCCAAAGAAATTTAGTAAGTCCTAATGTGTATTACAGGAGAGCTGTTACATGTGTACTTATATTGTTTTCCTTATTTTGTCTGAATTTCTCTTCTTTATCTCTTATCTCTCTCTTTTTTATCTGAATTAAAATGACTTAATTTTATTAAACTTTTTTTTCAGATTGAAGTAACAAAACCAACTGAGGGCACTACTAAAGAGTGGCGGAGTGAACAGCAAGAAGAAAAGGAAACATGTAGCGATGGCGAGGAAGTGATAGCGCCCGTGGCACCAGCAAGAAGGAGAAGGTCACGTGTGCATGCAGGATTTAGAAAAAGTGAAGGTAATCTTACGACCTTATAGTTTATTGAGGCATACATTACATTACAAGACATGTAACAAGTTTTATAAAGATATCTATAGTAACATAAGCGTGTTATGCAAAACAGTTTTTTGTAATTTGGCGCCATTATTGTCCGACATGTCAACTTTTTTTTGTTATTGAGTATACTGAAGTAATTCTACACAAACTTTTCTTCAATAACACTTGATAAACAATTTTCCCGTTTATTGCAAACTTTTTGTATTTTAAAGTATTTAAAATATTTAATGCATAAAAATATATGGGTAATATGATCAATAGTATGTATTTTACAGGAGGAAATAGTGCAGAAAGCGGCAGTTTAGACGTGGATGACGGTTCCGGTTTAAGAACGAGCAAGTCCGATACGAGTCTAACCGATTCGTTCATTATTATCGATAAAAAGAAGAAAGTTATAAATCCTCTAAATACGCTAAAACCAGGTATACACCAGGTGTTGGCTCACCCAAAAGTGGCTCACCCCTATACCTTTTTTATTTTTTTCAGATAAAAAAACAAGATTTGGTATATTAGTATATCGCATAAATTAAGATTGATTGACGTATTCAATTGTTTTCGGTCACTTCCTGTGTCATCGGAAATGACTACAACTTTTGATTTTTAAATGACATCATCGGAATTTTTTTTACTTCATTTGATAGAAAATGACATTCTGAATAGAATGACATATCATATGTCAACTTTTGACATTTGCAAACTTTTGACATTTTCAATTAAAAAAAAGCATTTTTTATTTCAGTTTGTGCTAGCAGTACCATGGCCATAAATGTAACGACACTTTGACTCGAAATATTAAATGTGTGGTATCAACTTATTTGTAAAAAATGCTTTAGAAAAACCACCTTCGTTCCATTTCGAAAAATTGAGTTGATTATAAATACGATTTGAGCATCTTTTGAACGGCCAGGACAAGACACGAAAAACATTAGACGATGAGATCTATTTTGAGATCTTGTAGATTAAAAATGATTGTATTTAACACAGCCATGGTTAGATGCACTCTAGATGAAAATTTAAAATATATTTTTTTAGGCGAGAAAGTCAAAAGTTGGCGTATGATATGTCATTCTATTCAGAGTGTCATTTTCTATCGAATAAATTAAAAAAATACGAGGGTACCATTTAAAAATCGGAAGTTGTTATTTCCGGTGAAACAGGAAGTGAATATATACACGAAAACAATTGAATACGTCAATCAATCCAATAATGTCATATACTAACATACCAAATCTCGATTTTTTATCTAAAAAAACAAAAAAAAAGTTATAGGGGTATGCCACTTTTGAGAAACAACCGATATTTTATATATACTTTTCAGGTTGATTAAAATTAATCTGTGACTATTTTTTTGTAGGATTTAAGTGGCAACGTCAGTTAGTATTCAGAAGCAAACTTACAATGCATACGGCATATGACAGAAAAGACAATACCGAACCTGCCTCAATCACTGCCTTAGCTGTATCTAAGTAAGTGAATCTTTTTTAAATAGTTCCAAATTATAATTTCTGAAGTTAGTGTTTAATATTGTTTTATTTTATATATATGGGGTAACTAATTATGGAGTAAAATGCCTGAGAATATTTTTTGTTATTATATATGTGCTTTTGGCAGACATATGTCTCAAAGAATCCGCTTAAATGTCAACACCTTATGTATGTCACATAAGAATTTGTGTTCTTATTAGATGTTTGTTATGGTCCTTTCTAGAATCGTAGTTCCATTTTAGGATCATAACAAAACCAAAAAAAAATCATTAGGCCAATTCATAGTTTAAGTTTAAATTATGAATTATGTTGAATAGGCATCAAAGAAGAAAGTTAGGCTCAATTATTAAATTAGAGTGAAAGATGTCTTTTATCCTTGTACCTAGTATGCTTATAGTGCTTGTTTAGGAGGTCGAAACATTCCTGGGAGAATTTACGGCCCTTAAGTTTGTGAGATTTCGATGTTTGGTTCAGTAGACGATTGATTTTACTTATGTATATATTTAACACTATTACAACTGATTACTAACTATTAAAATGAATAAAAAATAATGTGTGTTGTTACGATCACGTTCTTCGCTCGATCTTGGGCTCGATAGCGTCGCTCGTTAGCGTCTCGATTAGTGTTATCGATTCTCTTCCCGATATCCCGACTACCCTCATCAGTGAAAAAATGGGATGGTCCAGGCGTGGTCCCTGGTTGTACGGAGACCCATATAGATAAAAGAGCTTCGAACGCGACAAAGTTTTTAAAACGAATGAAATCATTAAGTTGTAATTTCTTTTCAAAGTATTTATTTTTTTGCATGAGTATCACATTCATGCAAAACTCAGAATATAAGTTACGCTTATTATACTGGCTTGGTCGTTCTAGATCCCTGGTCTGTATTCAAACATAAAGTAGTTCACACGTTATTGGCAGCGAGCAAAGTATGTGGTGGGAACAATTATTATTGAATTGATTTCAGCAATCGCGGTGGACAGGAGTTTTTTGTGATATAACCTTATTTCATGCCTAAACATTGAACCCGACAACTGAATTTTATATTTATTAAAAAATATACTTTATAATAGTACGTTTTATTCGCTACTATTTTTCACGATTGTCTTTTTTTATTGATATAGATAATTCAAATTAAAAATATTCGATTTTGAAAATCTTAGGTTTATATACCTATGTAAATTTCAAAAAGGATTCCGGTTTGTGCTTATGCTTATGCCACTAATTATAGTTTTTTTATTTAAAGGGATCATAGGGTAGTTTATGTTGGTGACACCAGAGGACGCGTTTTTTCTTGGTCGGTGTCCGATACAATTGGTAGGGCAGCAGATCATTGGTTGAAGGATGAGGGCGCGGAAAATTGCGCCAGTTGCTCTGTGAAGTTTACTCTGTATGAGAGAAGGCACCATTGCAGGAATTGTGGACAGGTTAGTTCTAAGTCTGCATTTACTTAAAGTTTGTAATGGACGCAAATACACTTTAAAATATATTATGTGTTTATACAGTTTATTCTAGAATAGACGTTTTTGAAATAGCCAAATATTAAACTTAATTTTCAAATGTAGTAATAATTACACAATTGAGTATCTAACCTTACAATGGTTTTTAAGTGGTCATAAACTTGGAGCTATTTTTGATATTTTTTCAATGATCAATACATATTACTTCTTGGCTCATTTTAACAATATACAGGGTCGTTATTATGTATGGAAACGGTTGATTATTAGGTAAATATAGGAGGTACCACAAAAAGTTAAATATGAAAATTATTGGGTTTATAAATATCTATTAGCGGGTAATAAATTTAAGTATACAGCGTCGGTCATAAAATCGTGACACATCAAAGTTTCATTTTTTTAAATCGAACCCCCTGTATATTATTGCATATTTCGGTTCTTCCTACAATTCTAAGCAAAAATCGAAATACACACAATGTATTCAACCGTTTCCGAGTTATTGACTTTTGAAAATATCACTTAAACAATTTGATTTAATTAATTTCGATATGTTCAGTTTCATTTAACGATGCCATTCTGCCGAAACTGTGATACTTAATATTTGACATTAGTTCTCAAGTTAGCATTTGTAGATGTATAAAATGAGAGTATATCAAGTCTGGAAATTACAAAATTTTCGTTTAATATTTCAATTCTTCAATTTATGTACATTGTGTATACGATTATTGCTTAAAATTGAAGGAAGAATTGAAATATACAATAATATACAGGGGGTTTCATTTAAAAAAAAAGTTTGATGTGACACAACTTTATGACCGATCCTGTATACTTACATTTACTAGTAGCTAAGAGGAATTTAAAAACCTATTACAACAGTATCACAGTTTCGGCAGAATGGCATCATTAAATCAAACCAAACACATCGAAATTAATTAAATTGAATTGTTTAAGTGATATTTTCAAAAGTCAATAACTCGGAAACGGTTGGTTTAAAGTACATAGTGTGTATTTCGATTTTTGCTTAGAATTGAAGGAAGAATTGAAATATGTAATAATATACAGGGGGTTCCATTGAAAAAATGAAACTTTGATGTGCCACGACTTTATGAACGATCCTGTGTACTTAAATTTACTAGCTAATAGACATTTAAAAATCCTATAACTTTTGTATTTAACTTTTTGCGGTACCTCCTATATTTTACCTAATAATCGACCGTTTCCATACATAAAAGCGACCCTGTATAATCGGCTCTTATAATAATAGGGTTTATCTATATATAATATCTATATATCTTATAATAATAGGGTATATCTATATATCTATATATAAGTTTTCTCTGACTCGTTGGACAGACTTTACTATAATATACACTGCTGTGTAAAAAGAAAAACGTCGCTCAGATGCCCATCGTATTGTCTTTTCTCGGATATAGTCTGTCCAAAGAGCAAGGGAAGATTTCAACAGACGAAATCCCAAAAATGACAGAAAATATCATTTACATGTGAATTAAAATGACAAACATAACTACCATTGTCAGTGATCCTCTCGTTGGACAAACTATAGATTTGAAACTTGGATATAATTTTATACTTCATCAAAACTTCCATTTTTTATTAAAAAATAGACCCACTATACGTTCCATCTCCAGTCCATATCCTTTCCATCAACATTCCGTGTAATTTGATCATATATAAAATTAGACGTACCTAACCGTCTGTAAATGCAACGGAGTTTGTGCATATATAAAACGAAATGCAACGGGGACAGAACGTATAGTGAGAATCAACCACAAACCAGAAATAAAACCAAACGAAATATTTAAATGGTAGTCTGATTTTTTGCATATTACGCTTAAAATTCTCTTTTCAGTGATATATGGTACGTTGGTATTATTGGGGCGGTTTTATTCAATATTCAGTATAATGGAATTTGAAAGTTACTAAAGGTTGCGAAATTAAATTATTTTAATTTCTTTAATTTCAATAATTTGTATTTAATGTAAGTATCGTTTTAGGTGTTTTGTTCACGATGTTCTCGTTTCGAGAGCGAGATCTCGAGATTGAGGATACTGAAGCCGGTTCGAGTCTGTCAGAGTTGTTACGCCTCCTTGAAAGGCGATAAATAAACCCGTAGATCTATCCTTCACCACATTATATCTCGTACAATAAATATATGAGTAGCTTGAGATACGAGATTCTGGTGTTGGTAGTCCAGGACGCGCAACCGAATGTTCCTGCTTGGCTATGAAGTCAGAAGTGCTATATAAACGTAGAAAAGGTTTGGGCCAACCAACATCACAGTCTCGTTTCTTGTTTAGATATAGAGATAAATATATGTAAGATAAGAGAACAATATTAGATGTATAAAAGAAGAAAAAATATTATTTTCTAGTAACCCGTGACGTTTATTAGTCAAGTTGTATAATGTAAAAAAATCTCAACACATCCATATACGGTATGTTGCATTGTCGACCTGAAATCCGATGTAAATTTTAAAAACGGTGAATAAGTTTTCTCAGTTTTACTTTAGAGCAAAACTTATTTGAGATTTTTTAAAGAACTTCTTACAATAAGGCAAATTGTTGATCTTGAATAATTAATACAAACTTATTTTTGGGTCATGCGAGATTCTAAATTAGGCGAAAATTTTTACAATAATCCGGTCCTGGACAAATAAAGATAATAATCACAAGATATGTCACAGTATGACAAATCGATTAGGGTGTATTCCGTTGCTTACCCTGGTTATGGTTTTATGTTCCGTTTCTATCGGTTTCCTGAAAGTTTTCTTATTACGGAACACGGTTCCTGAAAAATTCGGTTATAACTGTCACCAAACTAACCAGTTCGAGAATGCTGGTTTTTCTGGTTTTGTTTGTCAATCAATGCCATTTATGTGACAGAAATCAAGCAAATATTGGAAGTTCGAGTGAAATTCTCATTTAATTTCTAAAATTTGTAATAATATTTTGTATTTACATTCAAAAGCAATGGAGGTTGCGATTTAAACTTATCATGCAGCCATTGTTTCTTAAAGTCAGGAACATTTAAAGAAAACATGAAAAACAAGCCAACAAGTAATCGTGAATGTTTTGTAAGCTATAAAATATAAATATTGATTAGATTTGTTTATTTATTATTGATCTGTGAGTTTAACAATTTATTAATAAAGTACTTTTCAATATTAAACTCTATTGAAAAAAAGAAGCAAACGTAAAAGCAGAGAATAGGTACATTAAAAATGCATAAAAGATAAATTTTATAATAGAGGTATTGAAATTTAGAAAACACCAACATTTGACGTTTCCAGTATTTTACTAAACCGTTCCCACACATTCCGTATCAAACCGATGTTTTTCAGGAACCGCTCTTTACCGTAGTTTACTGGTCTGGTTCGCCTGGTTTTGCAAAGGAATACAGCCTTAGTTTCCAGTACAGGGATTTGTAAAAAATATAATATCCTGTTATATTTTATATGAAAAGTTACACCCACCGGCACGAAAAACGGGCACTTTAAAATTTTCATGTATTTGAAAGGTTTATATATGCATTAGTGTTCTAGTGGACCTATGCATATATAAACCTTTCATATTAATGATTTTTAAGCAATTTGTAGCTAAATTATTTGACTTTTTAGTACCTCTTTCTAAATTAAAAATGAAAGTTGACATCTGTAAATTATACGAGGCAAAACAAACTGTCGATATTTTGGTGAAAGTTTGAAACACCCTGTGGAGTATGTTAACAAAGCAAGGAATTTAAAAATCATTTTATCATCTAGGTGTATCTTTTCTCGATAGTTTGTTTTTTGATTCATCTCAATAGCTTTATTTTTTTTTTGGTGATATTCGTAAAATAATCTCAACACATCCATATACGGTATGTTGCATTGTCGACCTGAAATCCGATGTAAATTTTAAAAATGGTGAATACGTTTTCTCAGTTTTACTTTAGAGCAAAACTTATTTGAGATTTTTTAAAGAACTTCTTACAATAAGGCAAATTTTAATCTTGAATAATTAATACAAACTTAATACAACTGTGGAGTATGTTAACAAAGCAAGGAATTTAAAAATTTGATTCATTTCAATAGCTTTATTTTTTTTGGTGATATTCGCTTTTGAAGAAAACACTAACATTTTTTCGTATTTTTTACATTAAAACCATGCCTTTGCTTTTGGTCCTAGTCAACAGACCTATAACATAGTGTTTATGATTTATGTAATGTCACTGTCTTTCAAAAATCTTCTTATTATAGTCTGTTGGGCAGTTATTCTAGCAGATACGGTTTTAAGTCGAAAAGTTAATCTCTACCATGATCAATTAAAGCAAAAATAGTCGATACTTTAGAACTTAAGGCTATCTCTGCTAGAGTGAACGTTAATAAACAATAATAATAAGACTTCAATGACAATGCCATTACAAAAACAATAAATACTATTTTATAAGTGTGTTGATGAGAACCCAAAATCAATGCTAAAACTGCTGTAAATCGTTACTGTCTTATTCAAAAGCGAATATCTCCAATAAAAATATAGCTATTGAAATGAATCAAAAAACAAACTATCGAGAAAAGACGTACCTAGATGATAAAATGATTTTTAAATTCCTTGCTTTGTTAACATATTCAACAGGGTGTTTCAAACTTTACCAAGATATCAACATTTTGTTTTACCTCATATAATTGACAGATAGAAACTTTCATTTTTAATTTAGAAAGAGATACTAAAAAGTCAAATAACTTAGCTATAAATTGCTTAAAAAATCATCAAAATCGGCCCACTAGAAAAAAATATGTTAAACTTTAAAATAGATTAAAATTTTAAGGTGCCCCGTTTTCCGTGCCGGTGAGAGTGTATATTTCGTAGATAAACACATTCTTGAAAAGAAAAAAAATAAGAAGTGGCACGTGTTTTCAACTATTATTCCAACTATTCTGGTACTTACTTGTTTTTCATCTTCCACTTATAACAGAATATTTAATTTAATTTATTATTTGTCGATGGTCCTTATCAATATTATTCTCGTTTTTATATTTAGTCTTTAATAAACTGTTCCTTTTGGAATTCTTCTTTTTACATTTATAGTCTTTAATAACTGTTCTGCCCTATTTATAAAATGTACAGAAAGTAAGTTGCTTTATTTTAAAGAATTCTTTAAAAAAGTTTCAAATAATTTTTTCTGTAAAATAAAATGGGGAAAACTTATATCATTTTTAAAATTTACATGGGATTTCCCATGTTTAGATCGGCGATACAACAGACTGTAGAGGATTCCAGCGTTAAATATATTTAGAAGAAAAATCAAGAACAATAACCAATATTTGATATGTATACAAAATATTTGATAGAATTCCTGCTTGGTGTTTTAGCAAAAACATATAAACTCAATCCAATTAAACTATAATTTACGCCTAACCATATGGTTGTAAATTTATTAATTTGATCGTAAAGTTATATATATTTTTATTATACCCGGATAAAAAAATAATAGTTTTTTGGATGAGGCTTGTTTACACCTTTGAACAAATATATTTTCAAGTATCAATTTTTAAGCTCTCGGAGCGGACGTATATCTCGATATTAATTTATTTAGTGAGTTTCACTTGTTAAATGCTTCAATTACCAGGTTTGTTCTCAGAGCCTATTAGATGTAATATTTCTGTATGCCAACGTTTGAATAAAAAGATTAAGGAAGGAGAATGCTAGACAGCTCATGCTGTGCGCGATGGACACCTAATATGCCCAACTTAAATGCCGGTTTATCAGTGCCGTTCTAATTTTATTTAAAACGTGTAGACTCAATCATTTGTTGGTTTTGTTTTACGTCGTCAATAAATGCTATTAGTTATTAAAATTGTTGAAAAACGTGCCACCTTTCGTGGGAAGATTCCTCACGTAAAAATAAGATTTATTTTTCATATCAACATAGCCTGCTTTGTTTCGTAGTTATAGGGTGTTAAAGTCTCAATAAATCTTAGTGATTTGAATGAAATTTTGAGGGTAAAAGTTACTATAAGTACATAAATTCGTCGAACGTGCATATGGGTTATCACTGGAATATTTTTCAAAAAAATGTGCGCCACTGACTTTTTTCTTTTGATGTCAAAATTGTGTAAGGCCTTTTAATGCCAATTAAAAGTTATCTCTTGATATTTTGTCGAATTCGGCCTCCTTAATGAGAAACTCAGTTTTATTAATCACAATTAATAAAATTAAAATAAAAGTAAAAATAATAAATTATACATTTTACCTAATTTATTATTAAATATTTAGTTATTATTACTATTAGTCCAATCTAGAGCTATTTCAAATAAAAAAGTAGTGTTATTTAAGATAATTACAAAAAAAAACACTTAATTTTAAAAAGTTTTAACATCCTGTAACTCTAAAACTATGTATTTCCATACCCATATTTATAGGAACTTTTTTCGTATTTTTTGATGAGGAATCAATGAATACTTATTTAAAACTAGCAAGTAATGATATTTCACAAGTTAATGATATTTAAATTCTAGGTTGCTATTAGACTTGGATCAAGGCAAATTAATAAAATTGCGTTTATCTCATCAAGGTGGCCAAAATCGACAAAATATTAAGAGTCAACTTCTAATCGGCATTAAACTGCTTACATTATTTCACTAATAAGAGAGAAAAAGTCAGTGGTGTACCTACCTGCTTTTTTTTAGAAAAATATTCTAGTCATAACCCATATGCACGTCAGTGGTGAATATGTCGACACTTTTTTAGCTTTAAAATATGTCGCTTTTATAGTAACTTTTACTCTCAAAATTTCTTTCGAAACGCTAAAAGTACTTGGAAGAAAATTATAATAAATCGAAAAAATATTAAGACTTTTAGACACCCTGTAGCTACGAAACAAAGCAGAATCGGATCTATGTTGAAATGAAAAATAAATCTTATTTTTACGTGAGAAATCTCCCCACGCGAGAATCTCCCCAGCATAAAATATGATGCTTTATCTTTTTGAGCCATTATTTCGTGATAAAATATATAAAAAATTGTGGAAGGTATCATATACGATTTGAAGTTGAAATTTAACCTTCAATAACTTTCAAACCAGTCGATTAAATGAAAAATTATTTCACTCCTTTTTTGAAGACCATTCAATTCCCTAAAACTATATGTATTGATTTTTACAAAACGCTGATTTGTCAGAACACAATAAAATCCCAAAGAAAAAAGTGTCGTTTAAATGGGAAATAGAGAAACGATGAGACTCTTAATATTAATATTAAAAGCTCAATTTTTTCCAGATTTTTTTTTTCATCATACTGAACGATATTTTCACAGTAACTAAAAAGAATAAAAATATATTTTTTTTTGGTGCACCCCTCTAAGGTGCACCCTAAATTAGTAAGCGATTATTGATTATGTTCTGATACATGCACAATTGCTGGCTCTGAATAAAACTAATTCTCGAATAACGAAGAACATAAAATAAAGCTCAGTAAAGGAAAACAAATCTGCAAAAGTTCAAATCAAATGCAAATGTATCTATTGAAACCAGGATTGGAAAAAATCATGAAAAAAAATTCAATTATTTGCAATGTTTAAAAAAATATTATGTTCTACTAGGAGTAAAAATGTACTTTTTGTGCCTCCCTGTAACGTCGGAATAACTTTACGATGGTCCTTCAAAGGTAGAGCATTGTCAAAAAAAGTATAATTTTACTCCTAATAAAACAATACACTATTGTTCGGAAATAGTCTTAAGTCGAGAATGAAATTAGTATGTATTATCATCTAATGTCAATGTGTAAAGTACTTACTGCAGATCAAAATGTCGGTAGGA